TGTAATTTTCTCATTACCCAACCTCCACTCCAGCTTGGAATGCACAGCACAGCCAGAGGAAGCTGAGGTTACCAGATCAGGACACCCCCAGGAGTGGTGCAACCAACTTCACCCCCAGCTCAGCCCATTCATTCTGACACCCCACAGTATTCAGTGCCTGAACCCTCAGCCTTTCTAAGCCACAGAATCATCACTCTCCTGATAGCAAAGAATCTTCCAGGAAGTGTTCCTGTCAGGTGATGAAATATTTAAACACATTTGTTCACTTTTGAAAATGTACAAAATTAACATTGAGTTCCAGATGAGCATTAAGCTCAAGTGGATCTTCAGATCTGCCACACACCTGCAGAAATGATGAGCTGATGTCACAAGAGCAGATGATGAAGAGCAAGGTGACAGAAACTGGAATGTGTTTAAGGACTGAGCTAAGTCTATGAGACTTGGCACCATATTTCTAACACAGTCTTTCCTTTGCAAATAACTTTTAAAGAAATTAAAACTTGATTTTAATAACTAAGGTTAGGAAAACATCACAAACAAAAAGGAACTAACTACAATTAGCTCTTTTTTCCCCCTCCTCATTGCTTTTAGCTGTCTGTATGAAAATTATCCACGCCTATAATTATGTTTAAAGAACATTCACAGAACTCCTACTCCATTTGTGTCCGCCCCACCCCTCCCAGCCCCATTCCCACCCACCAGCCCTGCCAGGTCCTGGGGCACAGTCAGTGGCAGAGCCCACAGTTCCAGTGTGGCTGATGCCCTCCAGGAGCCCACAGTGGCAGTTGGGTTCTGCACCTGAAGCCATGGGCTGGGGGCAGCCAGGTCATTTATTCCTTGGGATGAGCCCAGAGTCAGCACAGCCATGGCTGGGAGCTCCTGGAGATTCCAGCAGGATAAGGACAAACTCCAGACATTTAAGGTGTGCAATTTTTGGAGATTATTAATTGACCAGACTTGGGAGGCTCTTCAGAGGGAAGAACAAAAGCGCATCCCTAATGCAAATCCATGCAAAACAAAAATTAGTTCCCTTTTCCAAAGCATGGGAAATGCAGCTGTTCAGTGACAGCTCAGAACTACTGAAAATAGGAGAGAAAGCATTTTATCCTCTAAGATCATTGTTAGGGACACAGGGTTTGTTCTGCTCACGTTGTCCCAAAAACCCAGACCGAGCAAACAGCCAGAGTGCAAATTATCACCTGAAATAAACTCCAGCAAAGTCAGAACAAGGCAGCAAGTGAGTTCAACTTCAAAGCTGACTTTGCTGTTCAAAGCTGAACAGGAGAGTTCAACTCCGAAGCACAGAGGTGGCACAGAAGCAGGGCAGCACTGCCACATCCCCAGCCCTGCGTGTGCTCAGACTCAGAGCTCAGCACCAAACACAGCAGACAAGAGCAGCATCAGAGCACACAAAACCTCCCAGGCAGATTCATAAGAAAATCATTTGCATTTGCTCTCACCACACAAATCACTGGAAAATCTCCTGGGATTTTCTCCCCCTCCCCTGCAAACACCTCTCCTTCCCAGCCACTCCTCTACCCAATTTATTCACCTCGGATTTCTGTTTTTCAGCTGTGTGCTCAGGTCGGTTCACAAGTTTGAACTGTAACGTTTTCCCATGGACTTTCACACTGAAGCACACACTGCTAAGAGATACTTCAGAAACACAGCACTTCCAAACATCGTACAACACAGTGCTCAGGAGCTCAGCACGGAATTGCTCAGCTCACAGCAGTGCAGTGCATTCGCTCTGCTCCATCCCGGCGCTCTGGAGACCTTTGCTGCTCAAAGGAGACCCCGCAATGACCGGCCCGGGATGTCTGCAGGAATTAGCGATGCAGCTCAGGTCGTGAGCACAAAGATTTGAAAGCCTCCTGCTGAGAACGGCGCAAATAAGCCACGTTGATACACAGCAGAGCAGCCTTAGCCACGTAACGCCGCTTATGCTAATCTACAAAAGGGCTCTTCTCGCCGCGGAGATAACATCACATGAGATACAATCATCTTTAGGACCATTTTTAGCAGCCAACAGGACAGCGTACCTTTGTACAGATGAGAGCCCCTTTCCAGCTGGGACCGCTTCAGGCAGGAATCAGCGCCGTGCGCTGCCAGCATCGGCTTCCCGCAGCAATCCACACGGCAGCTCTCGAAAGCGCTACTTCAGAACTTCCCCAAGCACCTCAGGGCTCACCGGCCCTCCAATCGCTGCATAAGCGATCCCTCCCCCTCCTCCCTTCCCAAATCCATCTACCTCCGTCAGTCCCAAATCACTCCCAGATGGGTAACGCGCTCTCAGCAGTCGGACAGCAGCGCAATTCACGGAGCGACGCTCAGCTCAATGCCCGCAGCGCTGCGAGCGCCCGGCCCCGGGGAGGCACGGAGGTGGGGTCAGGGGAGGCAGCTGGGAGCGGGAGCTGCTGGGCCGAAAGGAGGAGAACCTCCCACATACACACACACATACATACATACACACACGGACACGGGGAAAGAGCGGAGCGGCTGCTCGAAGTCGTGGGAACGGGCAGCGCTGGGCAGAGTAACGGCGTGGGTTCCCTTCCCTGGAGTTCCGAGCTGCCACGATGGGCTGCCTTACAATTCAGTGCTTTTCTCTCTGAGGGTCACACAAGGACACACATCGCAGCCCAACAAAACAAACAATTCCTCGTTTCCTACCTTACAGCCACGACCCGGTCCCGGGGAATACAGAATTGCTGTTTTATTGAAAAAGAATTTTAAAAATCTGAAAAACATCACATGTGGGTACTGTTATTTACCTGGCCCATCTGCTGCCCCAGGCCAGATGACAGGATCACTGCTGTCTGGTGATGCTTGTAAGTCCCTTCCAACTGAACTGATCTAAGGACACGGCAGATCTCAGCTCTGCAGCATGCAAAGACAGGAGGAGGAATGCCAAGCATCAGCCCCCATCTCCTGGCTTGTCAGAGTTTATTTGGGTTTTTATCGTTCCCATTTCTATAGAAAAAGTAAAATAGAAAGGGAAAGGACTTCTGCAAACCTATTTCTGTATTTATTAAGAGTGCTTTTGTTTGTTTTTAATGCCTGACCAGCACACGCTAACCCAAAATGTGCACCTGATGACAGACTGCATGGTATCACTGTACAGATAAACCACACTAACAGCAGCTTCCCTACCAGCACAGCAAAGCCAGCACCTCACCTCCTACCTTCCTCTTTAACAAAGGGCACAGCCTGAGCTGCCTCACAGCCCTGGATGGATTGAACAGCAGGGGAACGAGCTCTTGTCATTCTTTTTTAATGAATATCTGATTACAGCGAGGAGATACCCAGCAGTTTCTGTGCAGTATTTGCTGAGCAGGTGAGGCTGTGAGTGCCTTGCTTGAACACTGCATATCAATACTTATCACCTATCATCACAAGGCTGATGGGAAGCAATGCGTGCACGAGTTGTCAACCAAGATTTCAGTACAGAAGAGCTGTAAGCGAGCACTCCACAAGCACGTACCTTCACTGCAGCAAAACTAAAGGGCTTGGAAAAAGCCAAGCAGCCCCAGCAGCCCACGAGCAGAGGAGGCCGGGCTCCATTCCAGTGACCAAAGGAGGGCTGCCCTGTGCCAGGAGGTTGTTTTCACTAAGGGTGAAGTACAGCTTTTCTCACACCGCTGCCTATTCAGTCACCAAACTCACGTACTAAACGAACCAACTGACCACCCTGCCAAGAACAGTTATTAATTCCAGTGGTACAAAGTGCCACAGGATCTCTCCTCAATGCTGTGCTACATGCTCAGCTTCCAGTGCTGCTGGCGATGCATTCAAAGGAGCAGCAGAGCACTTCTGCAGCATGCCCTGCTCCTGGCAGGGAGAAGTGCAGCTCATCACAGCACTGCATGCAGCAAGCTTTGCATCAGAGCAGGACACAGCTCCACAGCAGGCACTGAGCTGAGTTACAGTGTGCGTGTAGTTAGCTATGGGTCTGCAGCATTATTAAGGGACCTTACAGAGAGCACCTGGTGCTTCTTGTATTTCACGGTGCTCTGAATCAGCTCAGAAAGCCCAAGTGAAGCACTTTGTTGGGGCAGAACCAGCTGCACCTGCAATCATTGCTTTTGCTCTCTCATAGAAACATACAAACGTCGTTATCTAACTACAGGGCAAAGCCACAAGCCTTCATCTCTGCTTTATTGAAATTCAAAGATTGCTATTTCTTTGTGATAGTACAAATGAGGTACTTGGTGAAGAAAAAAGAAAAGGTGATGGAGAGCAGCTTAAATAGTCATGGAATGGCAGAAACCATTGTCACGTTTGTCTGACACTGACACAGAGAGGGAATGGTTTACAAGCACAGGAGAGCAGCAGATCAGCTCATCATGTGTCACTGAAGGATGTATTTTTAAAATGAACCAAAGTACCAAGCTCATCCAAAGCTGTGTTGCACAGATGGCCTTAGATCTGATGGTATCCCATGGTACCCTCCATCACAGTCAAAACAGCTTTAAGAGATCTAAGAAAAAAGGTTACGTTGTTTCACATTAGAGATTGTTATCTGAATTAGCCTTCCACTCAAATGAAAGAACTCTGTAAGTTAATTAAGCATTCTCTGAACGAGCACTCCTTACTTAGAAGCACTAAGATGTGAAAGCCAGATTACAGGTGGCACCTCCCTAGGTTACCCATAGCACAGCTCTGATTAAAGACACCTGGCATGAAAGCACATTTCCTCATTAAAGAAAACAAAAATCCATCCCTTTCATTACATCCTGTAAGAAGAGTTTCTAAACTCTCCAAGCACTCGGTGCTTCTCCAGATGGAGTCTTCGGGAGCATCCTGTACATGTTTAGCAATAGCTAACCGGCGTTGTTGCTGCCCTTTCTTTAATAGCTAACCCACAAATACCGGAATCCCCGCAGGTCGCGCTCTCTCAGCCGGCCCAGCGGCATCGCTTCTCCCCCTGCGGGCTGATCCACGAACAGCCGCGCGTTGCAGCTCAGCGGGCGGAAAAGTTTAACCCTGAGAAGCGGGGTTTGCTGGTGAGATGCTTCCACGTGCAAAGACTCAGCCTGGCCGCACGCGCACACGTGGGTTTCACGGCCAGCTGCGGAGCTTTCCCTTTGGTTTCTAATCACAAAGAAGCCTCACACAGCTGCAACATATATAAGTGCTCGTGCTCGCGTGTTCTTTTTTTCTCGAATGTTCTGGGGGAAGCGTTGTTAGGCTGCAGATCTGAAGAACATGGCGGGTACCTGGAGGATCTGCGTTTGTTTCTATTGCTGCATTCACTGGCTTTCCTTTAGCATCCAGTGCTCCCCCCGCTCCGAGGATCGCGCAGCACCTGACAAACCCTCCGGGCTCCTGGGAGCTCCTGAGCTCAGCGAGCTCCACCCGCTGCTGCGGCTGCCCCAGGGTGTGAGCCGAGGCTATGCCCTCCTGCCCCCCCTGCTCAAAGTGCTGTCCGACCAGGGACGTCAGAGCTGGGAAAGCGGGACCCCCAGGCTGCAGCCGGACTCCCGAGCCCTGCGGTACATGAAGAGGCTGTATAAGATGTACGCCACCAAGGAGGGAATCCCGAAGGCCCACAAGAGCCACCTCTATAACACTGTTCGACTTTTCACCCCGTGTTCTGAGTGCCAGCACCGCCACAGGGATCTGGTTACAGGTAGGTGCGGAGCCACCCGAGCTGCCCAGCTCAGACTGCTGGAGGCGTTTTGGTTTTAAATAGTCGATCTCACGCCAATGTATCCTAAATACAGCAGCAGTTCAAGCAGTGGTCTGTATCTGAACCAACTTCATAAAGCAAATTTTAAGGCTGCTGTTAAAGTTCGTAACTTTAGATGAAAAATCATTAATGTAAACCATACTGTAAGTTCATTAAGATCCACAGAGCCCTCATCTGACTCTTAATCCTTTGCTCTCTGTGAGTTTGGAGATCACTTAATGCACTTGTGTGGTCACAAAGAACAATTTCTAACTCAGAGGAAAAGAGGCAGTGCTGAGCAGTGAGAGAAGCAGTGTGCTGAGCATTCAGCTCCATGCCTGGAGAGAGGGCCAGCCAATCTCAGAACTGAGATGGAAATACAGAAAACATAATAGGAAATGATAAGAACAGTGTATCCTACAATAGGGATGAATGAGACAGAAATATGCATTCAAAATAGCTTGGAAGCAGTCCTTTCTGCTTCACAAGAGAAAAGCAAACTGACAAAAATGACTTTCTGCTTTGCTGTTAGTCAGAGTCGCTGGCAGCTGTTGGTCAGGAATATGCGAGCAGGAAGAATAACTGCAGTTAATGCTAAAAACCTGAAGTTTTAAAGGGGACCTGGCAGCACACCCTTTAAAACTTGCACTATTTCATTTCATGGTTTTCTGTACAATCCAAAGAGTCTGGTTCCTCTTTCCCCTTCCCAGAACTGAAAGGACAACTGCCAATTTTGTGTGCTGCTCCTTAACTGCACGCTAACGCCTCTTAAAAGCCTTGGGCCGCCTTGGTTTTGTTGATAACTTTTGGTTCTCACCTAAGTAGACATTCCGTATAATAAAAATATGGGCATCTAAATTGGTTTCTTCCGCTGGTTAACAATTTCTGATTATCCACTATGCCATAGCATTTATGTACAGGTGGCAAATCAAGATGTGTTAACTGTGCAAGATCTCTGTTTCCCTTCCCAGGAGACCTTCACTCGGTGGATTTGCTCTTCAACCTGGATCGTGTTACTGCTCTCGAGCACTTACTCAAGTCTGTCTTGCTCTACTCATTTGACACCTCAGTTCCCACTTCTTCCTTTATGTGCACGTGCCATTTGTCTGTTAAGGAGCATGATTTTTCTAGCCAAGTATGTCCCAGTGTTTCGCACTCCGTAGCTCTTAGCCTGCACTTTGAAGTTAGAAAGCGCAAGTGGGTTGAGATTGATGTGACTTCTTTTCTGCAGCCTCTCATTGCTACTAACAGGAGGAATATTCACATGGCTGTGAACTTCACTTGTATTTTGGGTAACCCACAAGATAACACTAAACAGGATAATCTCATTAATATGGCTCTGGTCCCCCCTTCTCTTCTTCTTTACCTAAATGATACCAGCGAGCAAGCTTATCACAGGTGGAACTCACTCAGACACAGAAGGAAAAGCCCGGTGCAGCCCAAGCAAAGGAACAGTCTGTTTGCTGATGTGACAGGTGATGAAGGAAGAGAGAAGACGCAGGGTAAAAGGGCGTCTCGGCATCGAAGGGAAGAGAATCTGAAGGAAGCTCCAGCAACTCCGCCTCAAAATTTGAGTGAATATTTCAAACAGTTTCTGTTTCCTCAAAACGAGTGTGAGCTTCACAGCTTCCGTTTGAGCTTCAGCCAATTAAAATGGGACAAATGGATAATAGCACCGCATCGATACAGCCCTCAGTACTGCAAGGGTGACTGTCCCAGGGTGGTCGGGCACCGTTACGGCTCTCCTGTACACACAATGGTGCAGAACATCATATATGAGAAATTGGACTCCTCTGTTCCCAGGCCCTCCTGTGTTCCTGCTGAGTACAGCCCTCTGAGCGTCCTGACCATAGAGCCTGATGGCTCCATAGTCTACAAAGAATACGAGGACATGATAGCTACTAAGTGCACTTGTCGGTAGTGGGTGTACCCTAAGCTGCTTTACACTGAGTTTGGGTGTTTTGCATTCTCAAGATATTTGTAGCATTTGTGTAATTCTAACAGCTCTTTCAAACTGAATAGGATTTAGCATGGAATAAGAGGGTGTTTATATAATAGCACTATTTTTGTAGCCACTCAGTCTTTCTAGAACGTGAAAATAAATGTAGATATCTTTTTATTGGAATAATATTGCATTTGAACAGAAGTGGTTTCAACTACCAGATGCCTATTTTAAGCTGTTTTGTTACAGATTTAATAATAAATAAAATGAATGCTTATCACTCATATCACTTAAATTCAGTGTCTGCTGGTCTTTCTCTATATAAAGAAATCCTTTGTAATGATGCTTCTGCTAAGCTTCTAGGGAAAGAGGAAAAAAGGCTAATGTTAAAATTACTTTCTCAGTATTTCATTATTTTTCCTTTCCAAATTTCCAATTCCCCCAGCACTTTCCTTGTTGTAGGAATGTTGCAGAAAATGCTTATTGCAGGCTGAGAACTCAAGCTAAGGGAGCTTTGGCTGCAGCTCACACAAAGGACTGCTTTGGTAGGGATTCTTTAATGGAAGAATGCAGTGCTGTTTTGTGGTTTTTTTGTTTTTTGTTTTTTTGTTTGTTTGTTTGTTTTAATAGCTAAGAATAGCTTTTAAAACAATTTGTGAATGTACTGTTGTATAAACTCCTCCATTCTCTACTAGTCTGTAACATTAGTCATGACTCTCACAGTTCTACGTTGCTTGGCCTGGGCACGCAGCCTGGGGGGGAAGCACAGAACCCAGAGGGGCTCCGCGTGGCTCACAGCACGCTGGCAGGGCAGCAGGAGAGCTTCAGTGTGAGCCTGAAGGGCGGTGTGGAGCTGCGGTGCTGCCTGCTACAACACAGCCTCTGCTGATTGCGTTAGCCTGGGGCTGCTACACTAAAAATAGTGCTTACTTTGGCTCAGTGTGAGGGTACATTTTACCAAGAGCTCAAGGCAAAATAGCTCCATGTCTAACAGGCTCCTGCCCCAGGTCAGCACTGCATTTGATTGGGTTAGAAAAGGGTTCCTTGCCTAAGAAGCGTCACTCCCACCAGTCCGTTTCAAACGATGGGAATTCAGCTCTGCCAAGCGTTTGTTTGTTTAAAGTGGCCTCCTTTCAAATTATCTCTGTGGTTCTTTTCTCAGTGATAAATTCTGGCAACATCTTTTTGTGACTTCTCACAGCATTTTTGTGGGGATTGAGGAGATCGGGTACGCTGTATTTGATTCAGCAGAAATAAGCATGGAGGTGTAAAACAAAATTATTGGGTCTTTAGCACGAGTGTGAAAAAGCTAATTCAAGAGAAAGCATCCAGGCTCTTGAAACCGTACTGGGGGCAGCTAAAACACACTCACAGAAACGCGTAACCTCGTATCAGAAATCTGCAATGGATTCCAGGGCTCCTCCCGTGCGGTGTGACGGCGCAGCCTGCGCTCTGCAGCGGCACAACACCGCGGATCTCCGGCTGAGGAGGCGCAGAACCGTGAGCACCGCTACCGCCCTCGCAGCCCGCCGCCAGGGCGCGCAGGCCTTTCCCACCCTCAGCAGCTGCACACACGCCCTGCTCCTCTCCTCCCCCCGTCCCTGCAAAGCCAGCAGAAGCTGCATCGTTAACGGAGCTGATTAGAGACGTGGGGTTGTTAGAACCGATGTGCCAGCGGGACGAGCTCCGCAGGCGCCCACAGCCCGGAGGGGATCGGCGATCGGCGGGGCCTCACGCAGCGGGGGCGCGCACCTCCAGCGTAACCCTTAGCAACCAATGGTAACCCGTGGTAACCATGGGAACCCGCGGTAACCAATGGCCGCCGTGCGGCCCGGAAGCGGAAGCAGCATCTGAGATTCCTCTTCCGGGGCGCGCGGCGGCAGCGCAGCCCGCAAGGTGACACGGTACCACCATGGGCATCCACTTCGGGAACCTGGCCCGGGTGCGCCACATCATCACCTACAGCCTGTCGCCTTTCGAGCAGCGAGCGATGCCCAACGTCTTCTCGGACGGGCTGCCCAACGTGTGGCGGCGGTTCAGCTCGCAGGTCTTCAAGGTTGCACCCCGTGAGTAGGCGGCGGGGCTGAGGGAGGCGGAGCGGGGCGGTGGGGTTTTGTAGCGAGGTGTCGTGGCGGGGTTTTGTTGGTTCAGAAGCGCTGCAAGTGGCCCAGGCCGCTCCGTGCCTTGCCCTGTGTCAGCGTTCCTTTTCCTTTCCAGCCTTCGTGGGCGCCTACCTCCTCTACTCCTGGGGCACACAAGAGTTTGAGAGGCTGAAGAGGAAGAACCCTGCTGACTATGAGAACGACCAGTGACTGCATCTCTAAGACGTTACCACTCTGTAGCACCAACGGCTTGTTGCTGTGCTTGTTCATGTAACCAGAGGGACGGGGAGATAATATATCATAATGCCTAATAAACTTTAACTTTGTCCCATGTCTTTATATGAAGTCCGTGTCTTACAGTGTTTAAGGTGAATTGCACCACGTTATCTGTCAGGTGAATTCCATACTGAGAGATAACTGTACTAAATTTCTCTGAGCTCCAATTGCTTTATTTTACATTCCCAGACTTTCTGACTCTACTTTCAGGAAATATTTCGTAGTGCAGTTAGTTAAAGACAGCCCTTGCTATAATACAAGTGATGAGAAATAACAGTACAGAGGCAAGCTCTTTGATCCCTTTATCTTTCCCTCACTAGCCACTTTTTGCTTGAATTAGAATACATTCTAGTCTCTGTACCTGTGAAGAACAAACAGTCTGATATGATACTGACAAAAATTGCCCAACCCGACTGATGGTTCAGAATTGAATATGAGCTTTGACCCTCTATACAGTTACCAGGTTATCATATTTATTAATAATAATCTGATGATAAACTGCAGTTCTGATGTTTGGTTAGTGTTAATTGGCTGAATTAAAAGCAGTTCTTAGGGAACTACAAGGAAGTAAAGGGATTATTTTAACACCCAAGGATGATTTAAGGAACTCTATTACTACCATTATATTTTCAAACACATGACTGCAAAATTCACCCTGGGGCAGTTAAGCATATGACATGCTTTGCTCTCCAAAGTCCAGAATGTTTGGCTCATTCCTTTATTTATTTATTTATTTAAGTGTTGAGCTGCCTGTCTCAAATTCAAGCACAAGCAAAGTAACACATTTATCTCCCTGTCACTCTACTCCTGTAGCTGGTACTGCAAATTTATCTAATCTGCAGAGTGTGACGTTTTTCTGTGATAGTTCCTTTGTGGGTTAAGGGCTGAACTGTCTGGAAGGCAAAGATGCTCAGTCTCTCACTTCAGCAAGCTGGGGGATATACAACTTTTATAGCTGAAGGTTTTCTTGTTCTGTACTCCCAAGTGCAGTCTGAGGCTGGCAGAAACAAGTAAAGCAAGCTCCTCAGTGCTTCAAGTTCTGCTACAAATAATCTCTGTTTTACTCTCTTTCAATTCAATCCTGTCTTCCACTTAAGCAAGGGAACAATGAACTGGGCACTCCAATTCTGAGAGCAGCCAAAGATGTCTGCAGGCATATTTCATTCAGAACTCTTATTTACTTACCCTCAAAGAGTGACAGCAGTTGATTTGTAGCCTGAATAACAGGACATCTAAGCTTCAAACAGTGGGAGCTTGAGTCAATACTTTTTTTTCAGTGCCTCAGCAGTTCTGTTGAACATGAGCAGCTCAGAACAGAGCCCAGCCTTTCTGATGAGTCTCTGCCCCCGTTCACAGACAGCTGAACTATGTCCTGACCAGCTGCTAGACTACTGTAAACAGGTGGCACGTTCAGCTGCCACTGGTGAGTTTACCTACAACCCAGCAGCCCTGTGAGCCTCAAGCGGCAGCACTGCCAGGCCCTGGCTTTTAACCTTCATGCTGCGGGGTCAGCAGGTGGGCTGGAGCTGCTCCCTGTCTGCTCCTGCTGCTGGCAGTGCCTGCTGCAATCCTGCTGAGCTGTTCTCATCTCTGCAGTTGCCTGCAGGCCCAGCCTGTGCAGCAGGGAGCGAGATGCAAACCCGGCACATGGGCTGTGATGGCTCCCACCTGCCAGGTGGTGCGTGGGAGGTCAGCTGAGCAGCGTTTCAGAATCTGAACAATGCAGCTGAAAATTTCTCCGTCGCCTGATTTATTTCTGATGTTCCTTCCCTAAATGTCAAGTGGCAACACAGCCATGTTTTGTTTTCTTTGTCAATTGTTTAAACAATTGCATTGGCTATCTACTGGCCAGCAGTAGACACCTGGACTGCACTGCGTTTGCATACATGGAAACAATAAGTCCCTTTTTTTCTTGCACAAGTGAAACAGATAGCAGCCTAAAAGGGATCTGCAACTACACAGACACTATGAAGAACCTAGGAGACACACCGATTTTGACGTATCATCACAAATTACTAGTTTTAGCTAGCCAAAAAAGCTGAGAAACAACGACATGCTGAAGGCACTGCTCTGAGAGCTGAGATGCCATTTCAAGCCTGTGCTCTACAGGTGAAGTCAAGACAAACCACTGGCTCTTTTTTCCCCGTCTCTGCTCGATAGTGCCTAGCGAAGAAAGGAGTAATTACAACTCAGATGTATGTAAAGAAAGGATTCAGTGGAAGAAATGATTGAGAAATTCACAGACAAATGTAAAAAACAAAAACAAAAAAAACCCAATACTGAAGTTCAGCTATTTGATCTGCAATGACTATGTGAGATCCAAGAAAGTGAAATAAAGACCAGTTTTGATTCCTCCTCACAGGGAAGCAAGACAAACAAGGGGAAGTGGGAAAAGTTAAGAGGAACCCCAGGAAAGGAACAAATCTTCCAGCAGTGGATTGGAGGCAATATGCTGCAAAGGGTTTTTATTTAATCCCAGTGAAATTTGGGCTTCCCAGTAATCATTTGTAGGCTGGAACCTGACAACATAGCAGGTATTATCTTAATCTATGTAACTTGCCTTCCACGCTGGCACTTATGCCTCCATATTAAGCAATCACAGAAAACTGTAGCCTACTGCATTCACATTTGGATTTATCATGTAGCCAACGCATAATTACTTTTATACAGTATCTGACTACTTGAATTTTTTTTTTTATTTTTTATTTTTTAAACAGACTGCTTCAAAATCTGCATGGAGAACTCGATGCAACTACATCTGTGTTCTGTGACTCTGCAACTGAAATAATCATTTCCTTGACAGATGCAGCATACTTGGACATACATGGCAGCTGGATGCATAAAATATCACCAACAAAAAGGAGTAAATACGCACTTACAGAGTTTCTAAGTAAACTTAGAAACACACTACTCCTACTTGTCTCAGTGGGAGACAAGTGGGACAAGCATGTCTCAACTTTGATATTTTGGAAAAAATGAGAGGCAGTATGTAGTCCTTTTTAAACATTATTTTCTCTAGGCTGTTGGCAATCTTGTATCACCACAGAATAGTTTAAGATTCCCCTTAATTATAGTCTGCCCGTCCACATCAGTGGGAGGTTTGTTGGCACCTTTCAGAAGATTAATCATGAGTTACACTGTGAGATACAGACTACAGCAGAGTGTTCATCTCAATAAACCAGTCTTGCTACATAGAGCAACTCACCTCCACAAAATCCTTGCAAGCACCTCTTCTACTTTTGTGCTTAGCTATCTAGAGATCTGTGATTTACCTATTAAGTAATAACATAATTTTTGCATTCCAAACCCCACATGGAAAACATTACATCTGATTCTCAAGTACTACTTTGTGGAAAGAAAAGTTAAATGGCTTGCTTGTGATTCTTTTAGACACCAAGAACGAGAAGCAGAATCGAAAGTTTGATTCTCTGCTCCAAATACTCTCGGGAGAAAAGTAGTTACCTCCCAGCTGGCAAACTCAGAGCTGTGCATACTGTGAATGTCACAGAAGTCAAATAAGGTTATGGCTTTTTGATCTTCACCACGATACTGTTGGCCACCCACACTTTTACTTGCAAGCACACAACGGAGTTCTGGTAACATGCTAGATAGACTTTAAAGAAGGAACAGTTGGCAAATCTGGTAAGCTGACCAGACAAAGTACAAGTGGAAGGAGAGTAAATTATTAGCTAGATAGATAGGCCTTGAACCAGATCACTTCAGTAGATGCTAGCTTCGTAATTCCCTCTTGCTCCTAAATGAACTTTGCTCTTGTAATGACTGACAGCTGATGCAGTGATAAGAGAATGAAGTCTATAAAAATCTGGCTGTAGCTTGGGAAGTCCTATTCGGGGCTCTTCCAACCTCCTCTGCCCACGGCTGCTCTTACAGTTGAAGTGGCAGCTCATACTGTGAAGATGCACTGTTTGAAAACTGTGGCATTCCTTTTATTCTTCTCGCTGCTGCTCAGTCAGGTAAGCACAGATAACTATTTGAAGTGCTAGTTCAAATGTCAGGCAGCAAAGAAGGGCGCGAATGAGAGAAACTGGCAGGAATCTGCAGTATGGGTAGAGCTCTTTTAGCAGATTCAGCATGCCAAAGAAGTAGAGTGACTGCCGAGTGAAGATGGGTTACTCTGAAAAGTAATCGAGCAAGTAACTCTGCCTTCCCTCCCAAAGTAACTAAAACGTTGGTTTTCAGTAACTATTTCTTTAAGACTCGGATAAAAGCAATTATACTTTAAGAGAGCAATGCCTGAAAACAAGAAAGATTTAAAGTCCTTCACTTAAAAATGTTTAAGAGGATTGACCCGAGCATCAAAGCGACCCCCTGCCTACTGCTGCTGCGTGTTCCTGACGGTTGGCTGCAACTCTGTTCCAGGTGCACTGTGCTTCCCTGCACCAACCACAGCCTCTCCTGAGACAGAAGCGGATGACGCCTTTCTGGAGAGGAGTCTCACTGAGACCTGTTGGAGCCTCGTGTAGGGATAACAGTGAATGCATTACAATGCTATGCAGGTAAATAACCCTCATCAATATCAAAGCTCAGAGACGCTTGATACGCTGTTATGTAGAGGAAGCTCCTTATTCTCAATCAAACAAGATATGGGATTAATTCTGTGCATAGAAGAAAAAGATGCCAGGAATAAGGATGGAGCAATAGATTCAGACCTCTTTTGTTAGCAGTACAAACAGACCAGAGTCCAAGTGCCCTTGACGACAAGCCTTAGCCATTGCAATGCAACCCCAAAAAGTCATCTCAAAAAAAGAAAAAAGAACACAGAATTTTAGACTGAATTTAGGTATTGGCTAAGAGGCCTTAAAATTAATCCTTCTTAAGGCCAATATTGTTCACTTTAGAGCATATATTAATTAATGGGGACTACTTACGCTCTCAGCTCAAAGAGAGCTAAAATACTAAAGCTGACATTCCTCAGTACCATGCATGCTAGGTGTGAGTAAATTGTCCAAATACATACAAAAAGTGATGCTGAAGTTACTTAGTGACTGAAAGCTGATTTTGTGTGGCACCTACTGTAGTCCTGCCAGAAAGCAAATGGAAGAGGAGTAGAACACACACATCATCTACACACAAATGCTACAGGAGAAGGTAGTCGGGCTCCTCTTTTGCATGCATTTGAAATGCTTCCTTTGGTTCTACCGACTAGCATGGATGAACTGTAACAGCAGGAAGATAAATAGACAGAAAGGCATCCCTTACGTATAATCTGTCCTCCACTATCTGACTATTTAGACCTGAGTAACACATACTATTGAGTTACCACAGAAAGTAAAGAACGTAAAATGAATAAAGCCAAACTGAATTGAGTCAGCGAGATCCACAGCAGCACCACTGCGACAGCTGAGTAAGATGAGCACTGCTAGGGCCAGACAGACCTGTATCAGCCCTGCACGGCTGCCAGTCTGAGCTGTCAGTGCCTGATGATGTTTTGTCCTCTAGGAAGAACCGCTGCTTCCTTAGAACGGCCTCCGAGTGACCTGCCATGAGGACACCCGCCGCTGTTACTGCTACCACGGCTCAGCTCTACTTGTGACATATTTATTGACCACTCAGAAGCTACGACAGCAAATCAGCAAAAATTACATTCGACTTTCCTGTCATAAGAACTGGTAAAAGGACTTCAAAGAGATGGAGAGCATTTGCTCACTGAGGCTGTACCTCTGCAGCACGCACTGAGGATGACTCTGGCCAAGCTCAATAAAAGGACTCTGCATCTCATGTTTGTTTTGGGTTTTTTTTGTAATTGTTCATATATATATTTTTTTAAGCTGTGTATTAAAAATTTATATTCAGCAAGCTACCTGGATTTTTCCTTGCATCCTGCGACCAAAGTGTATGGTGACAGCACATCAGGCATTTCAAGCAGAAGTGCTTATTTCACAGTGGACTTTAGACATTTATCCTTCAACCTGGCAAGCGCATAAAGTTGATCACGCTTCCATCTCATTTCAGTCTCAACAGCTGAACTCTTATCCGTACTTCAAATAAAGGCCTGTTAGAAGAGAGAGCAAACAAACTGATAATAATAGTGCTAGCAGATTCAATATACTAAATATATCTGGTGATAACTGGAAGAAGTATTTACTTTTAAATTATTTCTAATCAAAATTGCCTACGTCCCAAGCTGACCTCCCTGCCTGAAGAGTCCTATTATTTCAACATACCTTCTATCAAAATCAGATTTTGACCAGATAGGCGTTAAAGAGCTGAGGGAAACAAAGCTAATTTTGATTGACAAATATCAACAGTCTGAGACACACATATACTGAATGCATCTTCCCTTGTTGTGTGCAGAGCGCTGGGATCAAAAAAGAAACTCTGCTTAAAAACACAGCAGCAGGGAGCAGGCAGCCCACTCAACAGACAGGACCACTCTGAAGTTTAATACAGAAAATCTATTTGATATTTATTAAACTTAGTTTCTCCAGTTACAGTTTTGCATTGTACAAAGCATTTTAATGACACAGTAGTTAAAAAGATCTTTACAAATTGAAATGTGATACCCTTTTCTCCAAATATTTTAATTGCCATAAATTTGTTTAAAAATACACATTAAACGCATGTTTCAGACACTAAACTTTCTATAATCTCAATACCACAAAATACATAGAATATACTATACAGATGTGGAAAAAATCTAGTTAGTATATAATACTTTGCTCACCATTAACAGCTTTATTACGTGAAATGCACATACTGACTTAGAAATCCTAATTTTGAGCCCCAAAGTACCCTTTGAAATTTCAAATGTATTGCAACAAATAAAATCACAGTTGGTGTGTTTTTTTAGGTTTTGGTTGAAGACAGATGCCTAAATATTCTGATAGAAACAAAACGCAACACATGGACTCGTCATGTACAAAGTGTGAAACAGAGACATCCCATTAGTTACTAGCAGTACCTTTCTGTATGATTCATAAGGGCTTCATTTATAAGCGACAGGTGAAAAGTTACCTTCCCTCACCCACAAACCCTCCCCCAAAAAAACCCTTCTTCATCAAATAATAATTTCAATTAAGATAAAGGATTTTTAATAAATATATAAGCACTTTATCCTCCATATACAAAATTTCTTAAAACAATTTAAAAGGGGGACCAGATACAAATGTCAGGAACTGTGCTTGCAAAAGTCATGCCTGGTCCTTAGAGTTGAGTTTTCAGATGTGTAACATCAATGCAGCCGAAAAGAAGGGCTGCAGAAATTCTGTGCACCCAATGGCACCGATTCCCAGGGCTGCATATAAAAACCAAGTCAGGGAACACTGCATTCCAATTTGCCTGTATCAGCTCCAATAGCAAACAGAGAGGTACGACAGGAATAGGTACATTTCCATTAAGTTTCCAGGTGAAATTAAAACATTTACATAGAGATATCCTATATAAACCTTAATGCTGTAACACAGCATAGTGTAATTCAATTGAAACTCAGCTGAGATGGGCAGAGAGCAAAGAACTAATGCTGTCAATGGCTGATCTAGCAAAGACCAGAGCTCCAGCTGAGAGCAAAATGTCCCTACCACACAGCTAACCCTCCTTCCCTGCCTGCCCCCACCCCCCACACTGCTGCTTTCAAATGGCATCATGGCATCAGAAACCAATTCCTTGAAAAGTAATGGAGTTTGACACACATCACGATTCCCTGATTGATTGCTTTTAGGTAACTTTCACACTTTGGAGATTTGCCTCCTGGAATAGCTCTGTATTTGTCTCAGTTGGCCATCAGAAGCTTTGGCTAGTCTTCACACTTCAAGATATCCAGCATTAACATACAGGTTTCCATAACACTGTTTCATTAGATGGAGTAATTTAAACCCTGACCAAAGTATTTGTCAGAAATCTAAAAATTTGGAAGTTGCTTACTCCCCAATGGGTAATTCAAACTCGACTTGCTCAGGCCCTTAACATAAATGCTGCAGTGACAGTAAATATCTGTTGGGTAAATGAAATATTAAATACAGCAAAGGTAGTCTCTCTTTCCAATAGTTTCCCATTTTGGAAAACTACATAATTATCTGCCTACGGCTTTATTTTACTTGCCCCGGGCAAGCACAACATCATTTCCATAAAGTAATGACTCTCTGTATGTTGGGGCCATTCATAAATACATTTCAGGGCTTTTTTTTTCTTCTTCTTTTGTTATCACAGCAATCAAGCCTCAGCAATCTAAAGGAATATACATTGCACTCCTGTATAATATGCAAGATTTATCACCAGTAAGATGGTGACTCAGCACTCAATAAATAATATATCAATATAGTCAGTTGCACCATAATCTAAAAACAAGTATAACATAGACTTTGGACAGACTGATTTCATATATATATACATATATATTAAAAGACACATACAATACAAATTGCATACTGCCATCAAAAGCCAAGAAGAGCCATCCACACGCTCTACTTTATGGCTAATAGTTTCAAATCAAAATAAAAGTATCAGGCTGTTTTACTCTGGTGTCCTGAAGATTTGATTATAAATATAAATGGTTGCACCTTATCATCTAGGAACCTGCAGGTTTCACAGCAAATCCAAATAATAGTGATATCTGAGCAAGCCTAGTCTGATTAAGCCATTTTTAAGATTCATCAACTGGGACTGCGTTCAGGAAGGGGATTAAAATCACAGCATTGATATGTATTGAAGATACAATCGTTTAGGGAATCGTTGAGGAAGCCAGGAGTGAGGGATCCCCTCCTCAGCACCCACTGCAGCCTGCCTGAGCGCTGACGCCGCCTGCATTTCCACCGCTGTTGTGCAGAGGTTAACGGAAGGACAGAGTTGGACTGTTTGTCTGCATTGTGGCTTTGGGATGGAAGCATATTAAGCATATTTGCTTTTTTTATAGCTATAAAATCTGACAAAGTACACAACTTCTGTCTTGGAAACAACGGTAAATCCCACATCAGATATGCTTTTGGAAGCATGAAATTTAAGTTTCTCTGATGGAAATAGCCACAGATGAGTAAGGCATTTCTTTTCAAATAACAAGACCACTGCGTATCTCCCATACGGACAGAAAACTTGGGACAGCACTCCAGGGAACACCTCCCTGTGACAGACTCTGTCAGCCATTTCAGGTCCACATTTTGACACAATGGAAGAAGTCTTTCAGTTACGTGAAGACAATATTTTAAGACCCACCGACCCGGGGACAAGTGATACATTTTTTTTTAGAGACAACTGCGTGTGACACCAAAAGGTATCTGTGGGACTCTAAGGAAATAAAAAAAGAAAATAAATTCCCAGAGATGAGACCATTCCTGCTTACAGTCATGGTCACTGTGCACAAAGGAGCAAGCCGAAAGCAGCCGCGCCGCCTGGTGCAGCACTACACAAAAAAATCAACTATGAATGCAACTTCTACAAAGGTATTTTTTATATAGCGTCAAAAGAGTGCTAGGCACTTTAGAGTATTAAAGGAAAAATTAGTTGACAGTGTCCCATTAACCAGGATGCAGAGTCTGAGGGTACAGAGTTCTGTCTCTAACAGCAAACACGAAAAGAAACGCCATCTTGCACAGTGATTCAATAAAAAGGATGCTCCAACCAGCAGACCTGATCAGTGATTCAGCTGTAATGGGAAAAGTCACAGGTCTGCTAACCAACCACGTGTTGGTTCGTACGTAGCAAAGCTCTTCTGGAAGTACAAAACACGCTGGAACGCAAAGGAAGCTCTACGAATATGCAGCTACCTTTTAGTAGGTTACTCATTTGCAAAACTTCTAAACTCTTAAAGCCCATAGGACATACTGCAGTACTAAGAGCGTAGAATTCTATTCCTTCTTTCGAGGTTGCCATGATTTTGGCACTTAACCACAACGACACAAAACTTTAGTGCAATATTTTTTCCTGAACGTGGGCGTTCATCTCTGGTACAGAATTAAGGGTTAAATGGGAGATAAAACAAAGCAGCATTCCACAATCGCACTCCAAAATATTCAGAGCTTGACTCTTTAGAAGGAGACCACTGCAATGAGAAGTCAGTTCGCATGACAGACACTGGTACTTTTAAAAAGGAAATGGAATTTTACCCAAGTACTGCAGAAGACCACTGCATACAGTACACCTGGTCCTGCTGTAAAACATCTTGTAAACAGTTCATAAAATCTTCATCTAAAAGTAAGGCATAAGGCACACCAGACATGTTAGGGGCACTAAGCAATACTGAAAGCAGTAGCATTTTAAACCTTTGACTCAGACAAGCACCTCACGTGGAAAGGTACTTTGGTTTACACGTTTTGGGAGCAGTCAACTGCAACTCCACAGACTATTTCTGTTGCACCAACTCACTTCCTCTCAAACGAATATTCTGCTCCATCAAATGCATCAAACACGAATGGGACCTTCATTAATATGGGGTAAATACAAGCTTTAAATCCATTCTGCATCAAAACGATTAGACAACTTCCCTGTAATAGCAGGTGTGCTCCCCACCCCACAATGGCTGTTGCACTATCATGCTGTAGTGTCCATTAACCATCAGACCCTAAAAGGAAAAAAATGGATCTCCGTCTCTACTTAAGATTCCTGATTTTCCAGTCAATGAAAAAGATGCAAATGGCAGTTCTGGTAGGAATTTAACCACTGTTGTTTTGTTGTTGTTTTTTTTTTTTAAACCACAAAACTGCGGATTTTGCAAGTGTCAAAAAATGACAAGCAAGGAAACAAAATGCGTTTTAAATGAAGAGATATAAAAAAGCACAAGATTGTCCATTTCAGAAACCTTTCCTATATGCATCGCACCTATCAGAAGTTCATTCCTACACCATTACTCTGATATTACATTAAATGCAAATTACTGCAATGTTTCGTGATTTGTTATAGTGTTAAATCAATGTTTTGAAACTGCCTTGAAAGCAACCCAAGTCAGATCCAGCTAAATATTTTTCCATATAAATTTCTTTAAAATTCATTTAAATGAAGTATTTTAATACGTAGAAGAATATCTGGAATTTTTCTATTTAGTACAAATTCTGCAATAATAAAACTCTAGCTGTCATTTATTAGTTGATCCATAGGCATTAGGCATGAAAAGTATGGTGTTTCTACACGTTAGAACCTATCAATCCTAATTCCTTTTACAGGTTCTACCACCACAAGACATTACAGAGTAACAAAGCTCACAAAGTACTTAAATAAAGTGTCTATGTTTAATTTTTCCTAAGTACTTGGAAGGGTAAATTTAGGGAAGAAACGGCTAAAAACTGCCCCAAATCGGGCTTTTCAAAATTAAAATTAAAAAATTAAAATAAATAGGATTTAAACCAACTATTTACGTATTATGACGGGAATTCCAATGACCCAATCTATCCATGATAGATTAGCAAAGCTACACCTTTATATGTCGCAAATTTAAAAATATTTAAATAACTTAAGAAGGGAATACTGAAGGAGTCCATTAACAAGATAATTTTGGGTTAAAACACAAAACACAAATCAGGATGGGAGACATGTGAAAGCATTCCTTGCTCTTAGTGTCAACTAAGCAATGTGTTATGGCAGTCTTCCTTATTGACATGACACAGTGTTGTGGAGATAAATCAGAGGCAGCGAGAAAAACGTGTTCTATTTTCCATTCCTTCAGTTCAAAGTATCACTTGGCATCCAGGCGCAACCAGTGTAGTCCCTGACGGGTGTAACGCACTAGGTCTGTCATGATGCTTGAATTAAAAACCAGAGGGCCCATAGCTTTGTCCAGTTCAGCAAAGAACTCTAAAACAACAGAAACACAAGTTAGGCACAGTCTTTCGCATTGGCTGCTATATGGGACATACTGCACTCCCTAAAAGAACACCTTCTCAGCACAAATCTTCCAGATCAAGGCAAAAGAAATGGAAGATGGCTGAATGATGGCAGAAAAAAAAGAAAGGAAAGAGGTCCTTTCCAGTCCATTTCTTTACTGTTTTGCAGAAAACATGTTGCAAAGCATAATTACACTCTGGTTTACACGGTGGCCTTCTCCTCAAATGTGTATTATTCACTTCAGGATTTCAGAAAAGGAAATGCATCCAGTTCTGCTTTCTGCAGAGAACAACTTACAGGAAATGCAAGATTTATTTATTTATTTTAAGCATAGCTGGTAGGAAATGTTACATCTCCAACAACACCAACTGACGACCAAGACAGCCAGCCCAGGGCATCACTGTCATCAAAGGAGTTACTTTCCATCTTCCTTTTGCAGAGGACCCAATTAAGCACCATTGTGCTTGTTCTGTTAAGTGCAACTCCAAAACTGAAAACCTGTCAGAATTTAGCACAACATGCAAGCCTGAGGTTATAACTTGCCTTTGCCTACCCTTACCTTTCTGTTCTTTAGACAGCTGTTCAGCTTGGTCCCAAATTTCAGTGGCATAGAGGAAGTTGGATGTAACTTGGACATAGCTGGCTGCCATCTGATGGATCCTCTGGGGGATCGTCACTGAAGACCCGCTCCCTGAAGGGTTGGCTGCCCCAGAAGAGTAATTTCCTGAATTCCCTGGAGACAGCTTTGGAGAGACTGGAGACGGCATACCAACAGGCTTGCTGCTCATCCAAAGAAAAGCATTACATTGTAAAAGGCACGCACAGGTACGTCAGGGGCATCATGCAAACCTCTCTTCCTACAGCTCAGAACATGGGATGCTAAAGCACTCCCACTTCACACACTGAGAAGCCAAGATTGGCCCTGCAACAAGTGAAAACATCTGAGGTTCCTCAAGCTCCTGTATTTTAGCCTCACAGCCAAATCGATACGCAGCATCTTTCAATTAAACATGTTGCTTAAATAAATTGAACCTTACTTAGTAATAATGAAAAAATTAAAGCGAGGCAATTATACTACCATTATATTGTCAAGTAACATGATACAAATCTGAAATGCCCTCCTAAAATTGTTGTTTCTTTTTCTTTACAGAGTAATCAATAAAAAATCTGTTGTCATATTTCAAGAACAGAAATAAACTTATACTATGGAAGAGCCAATCATGAAAGTACTTGTAGCCATCTGGGCTTCAAGTGCATCACTGCAGCACTAATAAAGCTATTGTTTTGAGAGAAAAAGCATTATATAAAACAACTAACCACTGAGACAAGTGACCTGTGTGTTAAGGACACACTGAGGATTTTTTTGTTCATTCCTCCCAACGAGGAGTTGCCTGAGAATATTTCTGCACAGCAGTCTTCTAAACCTCTTATCAGAACACGTATCTGAGCAACAGAATCAAAACCCAGACCTTAGAACAATTAGGAATTAGTTCAAAAGCATCCAAGGCTCACAAAAATGAAAGCTGCTCTTTGAGCACCTCAGACTCACAGTTTATGTGGAAAATTAGCTATAAATGTAGAAATATAGTAAACTTTTACTACCTACCTTCCCATACCAGGTGACGGTGCTTGAGAATTATTATAGGAATTCTGTTGGGAAAAAATAAATTTATGTTTATACCTCAGCTAATTATATTTTATCTGGTTATTTAATGGGTCATTTCTGAACATGAGTTCTCATGGCTTTTCTTTTAAGCAATAATCAAAATCCCAAATAATATCAAAGTACTTTCAAAATTGGGAAAAGCATCTCTTTCAGTGATGACTAAGACACAAATCAGCTAAGTTTTAGCTTTGTTATATCAACAACAAGAAAACTATTTTAAAATTCTCTTTGAAGCCAACTAAATTTACTAAAAACAAAAGCTGCACCAAAATAGTAATAGGAAGCTATCATTAGGACCAGTGGGTTGACGACATTATAGTCGTGCAGTATCCTCCCAGCTCTAAACTAGGCAGGTTGAACGTACTTTCAAGGTCCAGTCCTAAATTAGGGCATACTGGAAGTTCACATGCAGCAGTCTGAATACCAGGCAGAGGAATTTTAAGTGATGCAGAACTTCAATTTGATTAGTTTTTTAATATTTGAAGAAAATATATATCCAATTACCTTCAGATGTTCAGTCAGAGTTTTAGAATATTTCAATGCACTTTCCTTTTTCAGTTTGAAAAGCCTTAGGTATAGTAGAGACTGGCACCGAAGACTAACCAAAGACAGAACAGCAAAACATTTACAGTTAAAGTCAAGCTTATCACAACACGCTGAAAGTCAAAAATTGAGTACCTGTGTTTTTAAAAGCTTTCTCTCTCAACAGTAAAAAGCCAACTGTCAAGCTCTAGCTAGCAGAAGTCCCACACCAACCTTACTTCTCAAGAAAGTAAAGAACAGTTTTGTGCCTTAAGCTGAAACTACAGTTTGCAGTGACTTTGCTGATACAGGTCATCTCCAGTTCTGAGCTCAGCTGACAACATTAATTTACTTCCTACAGAAAGGGTTCATTCATTTTTTTCCTCACGTCAAGAGATATAGAGTCTGGTGCATTCTGCCATAGTTCCCTCTTTTCTTTTCCACCTGACAGTTGGCTCTGTTTTGCTACTTGATGCAGCCATTTAATTAATCCAGGAGGCAAGTGACAATTCTTAACAGCCATTCCAAGTTTTGTCACTTCACGGGGTGAACACACAGCAAGGACCCCAAATCTTTTTGCTGTTACTCCTCTCAAATCCAATAGAGAAGTTCACCTTTCCAAGAAAGTTTCAAATCAGAATTGTAAATTCATTCAATTGAGTAAAGCAGTGTGTGCTGATTATGTTAATTTACAAAAATGAAAGCCAAAACCAGACAACAGTTTGCTTGTTAATGCAATCTCAAAGTTTCCCAAAGCATTTAGGTAACAGGCCAACATAAGCTGACTGTGCAACCAACTCAACAGTAATCCATTATTTTTGAACATTATAATTTACAAAGAAAGAAAATTAGGAGCTCAGTCCATCAACAGCAGTTTTGTCAAAACATTAAGGATGATGAAATTCACAAAGGCACCTCTATCATTTTTAGCCACATTTACAACTTCATCACATGCAACAGACAACTGACCAATGACATCACATTCTAAAATAAAAGCATTAACTGATGCAACGCTATGGAGCTGAAAAAAGTCAGTAATTTCCTTAATAGTTGAAAGACTTATCTGCTGTTGTTAACATGCCCCTCATTCTAATTTACAGTAATCAATCTATAGCATCCATCATCCTGTATAGTCAAATGGAAAACTCCAATTTGGTTCAAAACACCTGAAAACTCAGTGTAAGACAGCATTTCATGGAGAGAAAGCAGTTTCAGTTAATCAGTGTGTAGTATAAAGTTCAGGATACACGTACCAAAGCACTGCTAGCCTCTTATCTGCAGCCGTAGCATCCGGTGCCAAGTAATTCTTCAGTTTCATAGTGTACCTATAAACAAATTATCAACAAGAAAACAATCTATCAAGTAAGCCACAAAATAAAATATCACGCTATTATTTACCAGTCACCAAAGTTCTTACGAAATTCTAATTTCAATTCCTTCACTGTTTCAGGTTCCTCCCTCAGACTCTGAACAGAACATGGCTAGACAATAATTGGAATGTTTTTGCACTGCAGATGTTACAAATTGTTAAAGCATCAAGAATTTCAGAATAAAGGATCTCAACCTTCAACAACACACTTTGAGCTTCAGTAACTGGAACAAAGTGTCAAGTGATCCGTTCTTAGTGGAGAGTAAGGGACGTCAAAAGTTAGAGGCAGAACATAAGTAAAACGTAGAAGCCCCAATTTCCAGCCCTATTCTCCAACCATTTGAGTTTTGTATGTGCCCTACAGTGCTTACTTGATTAATTCCACAGTTTCTGAATACATAGGGAACGGGGACTTGGATTCCTGAGCATTTTTCTCCAATGCATTCCCACACTCAATGAACGACACTACTGCATCTAGGTAGTACACAGCCTTCTCAAACCTGTCAGACTGAGAAAATTGGGGAAAAAAAAAAAGGAAATATTGAGAGGAAATACCAGAAAGTTCTAGTACAGACAGGCAGCAACACAGCAAAAGCAGTAAACAAAACCCAGCATAACGTGCAAACACTGGATAAACACTGCAGATTTACTTACCAATGCATCTGCGTTATGTTTTAACTTCTTTGCCTCCTGTAAATAATGATCAGCTGAGTAAGTCCTACAAGAAAAGATACATTTATGGACTCAGATCACCTACACTGCACTTCCTTTTATGACATAAGTTTGTTAACGTTACAGCTTTCACTTCTTCCCCCTCTAATCAAGTTACAATAACAGGAGACACTGTATCACAATCCCATTCTTGTAGATCTACAATTCAAAAATGAAGGCTCCTCTCTGCTACCAAAAACAACAACTGCTCACTATGGGTGAAGCAGGCTCTGTTAAAAGAGAACGGGCAGACAGGCAGCAGTGATATTCTGAAAGGGTGCAATGGATATATCAACACTTAGAAACAGGACAACCCTGGAATATTTAAGTCTACTGTTTGCTCCATCCATACTCGGCAGGAACACACAGGGCAGGCTGGAGTTCCTCCTCTGGAGTGCACTGCCACGTAAATGGTGCACAGGGCAGGCAGAGAAGCGCACTGCTGCAGGAACAATACGCAGATCTCCAGAGCATAAACTAGTATTCAGCATCTTTGTGAAGCAAACAGGACAACCTTCGCTGTGCTCCAAGATCAGCATCCCCAAAACAGGAAAGGCACCCTCTGCTTTTCTTACCTGTCATCAAAAACAAGTTTTGCTCTTCTTGACTTTGAGTTCTCTGAAGATGGAGTAGAAACAGGAGGGCAGTTCAATGAATTGTTCAGAATCTTTTCCTGAAATGTCAAGAATTTTTTTTTTTTAAGACAAAAAGGTATTTAATGTATAAATTTTTCCCATGACTTCACACTCTATAAGCAATAAGGCCAGTTTTGTAGCTGCTTTAGCTGCCATTCATCATATAATAACACAGTTTCCCTGAGGCTTTCATCTCATGCTGGCACAGGGGAAGACACAGAGCCTATAATTAAGCTGAGCCCAACTACACTAGGAGATCTCCCATATTGCTAAATCTTGATTTTCCACTCAGAACAAAGAGGCTATATATACTTTTATTACTTCTCACGTCTTTCAACAATAAACTGCTGAATGTCTCTGGCTTGAAAAGATCAGTATTTCAGAAACACCATCTTCAGGAGAAATAACAGCTGTCCTCACAACACGCTGTCCTTGCTCCCCTTGATTTTACATGGCTCAGTGTGACACTTCAGGCTAAAGAAGGGACACTAAAACATCCTGTGAATTCTAAATGAATCTGTCCTTACTAGCTCAACAGCATAAAGCAACTTCCCAGCCTCAGTGTGCTTTCAGCTCTTTGGATTTATCATGACCAAAGGCCAACTACATAGAGTATTTCATAACCTGCCTTTATCAGATCCTTGCTAATCAGAAGGATCTTGAAGTTGCAAGGCATTACACTTGCACAGCAATGCCCTCTCTACCAGTGTAACATAAAACACTACCAAAACATGCAGGGAAATACAGGAAGAATATACTACTTTAAAAAAGACATGACTAAACATATTCAAAGTATGAAAAGATAAACATTAAACAAGTTAACAGCTGGTTTAGGGACAGTTCTGTGCTGATGAATAAGGAAAGACCAGAGCATCAGTCTACGATGCAAATCTGCTATCTGCAGGAGACACCGATGCAAGCAACCTTCCCAGGTTTCTAAAATCTCACAGTAATGGCATGTAAATTAATCCAGCAGGTCTCCCAGTTTGAATATTGCATGAACTCCACCCTGATGACTAAGCTACTTTCTGCCATTGCTAATGCCATTCGCTGCTTTACTCCTCCCCAGATCAATTATTCTTCCTGAACACTTTATAGCACTCAAAGGCAAACGGTACATTTGGAATCTCAAAGATAAAGGTGAAATCCCTCCAACTTAAACATATTACACTCAAACAGGGCTATGCAACAGAAACAGCTCTACACAGATACTCAGATGTCCTCACAAGTTAAATTCTGTCCAGTAATGCATGTTTATATACTAATGAAAAAGCATGTTACATTTCATGACCTTTCAGTCTCATCATCTTATAATATGTTTGAAACCCACCAACTAAACATGTCCTTAATCTAAGTTGCTTAAAAAATGTTTTCTGCATCACCTTTTCAACAGTTTTCTCTACTCTAACCAAAGAAAGCTTGTACCTTCCTGCACTGGAATCAGATGAGCCTTTCTAGAATCCTAGGATGAAAAAGAAGAGCCACAGCTTTGCATCTCAGCACTGTGCACAGACCCAGCTCCTGTTCTCCTTAAAATGAGGACAAGATCTGCACTTGATCCAGCGACATAAGAGTAACCTCATTGTTCATTCTGGGTAAACAGATTTGTAGTGATATTTCTCATTAACAAATTAAACAGCAAGTAAGCAGCATCTGTCATCAAAAGATGACTAAATTCACTTTAGTAATTAACATAAATATTTGGTAGGAATAAACATTAGTATTCCAAGTTATTTTCCAATTTAGAGTTTCAAGCACCATGGCATGAAACAAGGCAAATCTGAAACTAATTACACTTCAACTTCAACTGCAAATTATTTAGATGACACTGCGCACGTCAAACTGCAAAGCCTAGAAATAAGTTCAAGGCATTCACAGAACAGGCCCTTTACCTTTGTTTCTTTAGCACTGCCAGAACCTTTCCCCTCCATTTTCTTCTGTTTAGAAGATGAGCTGCTTTTACTGCCACTGCTGCTGTCCTTACTAACATTGCTGCTGGACTTCAAAGATGATGACTGACTGACCGTCCTCTTCCGGGACCCGTGCTCTTGTTTGGAATCCTTCTGAAGGACTGGGGCAGCAGGAGATGGCAGTAAATCCTTCTCTTTAACAGCACTTGGTTTTAAAGACCTGGACAAAATGAATACATTCAGTTTTGATTTTTATTTTTCAAAATAGAAATAAACAAAAAATCTAACATCACTTTTTTTTTTTTCTTTTAAATCAGACTCACACCCTTCCCCATTTAAGCCCGCTCCCTCCCCCCCAAAAAAAAACCACCAAGATTTTTAATGTTGAACATAGCAAGACAGATTCAGCGGAAGAGAATAATCTCCACAGTAACTAGACATTATGAAGCCTGATTGAACTAGTTTTCACCATTTTATCTGTTCTGACCTGAAAACGCAGAAGGCAAGTTCTAACCATAAAACCACATCCCTCAACAGTTCTTAAAAACACCCTAAACACTTGTAATGTCAGAAATGAATGCCAGTGTTAGCGCCAGTCTGTCTATTGCAGACGAGTCAGCCTGACAGCTCAGAAAAAAAGATGGCCCAGATAACTGTTCTCTAGAAGCCATTAGCCTTTTGGTACAGTCTTACCTTGGCTGCTGAGGACTACAGTCACTAATTCTAGCTTCCCTTTTCACAGAGAACAGTACATGAAATAACTATTTATTCACAGTTTTTTAAAAACCACGCTGTTGCATTTAACCAAGTGCCTTTCAGATAATCACACTAGCAACCAAAAAATATTAGGAGTAAAGGAAAAAAACACGACAGACGAGCATCCATTTTTTCTACATTTCCTAACAAATACAAAGAAAGCATTTAACTCAGAAAGACTTTCTGGCATCTGCAGCCAGAAGCTGCAGTTTCTCACACATTAGTAATTCAACAAATATTCACTGCAGAGAATTTTTTTTCCATGGTGTAATTATACCAGCTGTCAGTTGTTTGATCTGAAATAGTATATCAAAGGTGAACCCTTCATAGTAGGGTTTATTTGGTCAATGTTTTTGGTTACGGAAATGAATTTCCACCAACAACTAATGGAAACTTCAAAAAAATCAGTCTGAAGAAATAGAAGCCACAAAATGTTACCCACTGATTAATAAGGAGACATTTTGTTGAGGAGGGAAGGGAAGAAGGTAAGGAAGAGATGGAGATGGGCATCAGTCTTCTCTTTGATCACCCTGAGCCTTCAGTGCTGAAGAGACAGGCAAGATACTCACTCCCTACTGCTAGAAGTCTTGTGTCCTGATGGAGCTTTTTCTTCCAGTTTCGTTTTCTTGCTTTCACTGGCTCTGTTTTCATCCTCATTCTGAATACAGCAAACAAGAAACACATCCAGATAACTGACATTTAATGCTTCACAGATACAGTAATTTTTCTTTTTTAACAATTTAATTCAGTGGGCATCTTGCAGTGTACAGAATAAGATTTGTACAGGCCACAGAAACATTCCCTGAAGCATCTAGCTTGTATCAAACATTTGAAAAGTGGAAGTCTCAAGTTGTTTGATAACAAACATATCACCAGATACCAGGAAAATATGCCAAAGGTTTTGGTACAAAATCAGATTTTATGCTGGGGAGTCAAACACAGGTGTCTTATGAATGCTAGAAACCGTAATAGTCTTTAAGTCTCCATGAGATGCTGAAGACCAGATTTTTATATAAACCTAATCAAACCTAGTCAAAGGGTTTACAGGGTACACAATCTGTGCTGCCTCCAGGAACTGAAGCTACAGTGCTAACAGATCTAAAGGTACAACCTTCTGCCTCTCACGCATCACTCCAAAAGAAAACTCCAATATTCCCTATTATAATGGCACAGGAATTATCCATTTTTTTCTACACAGAATAGGTAGACAAAGTCATCTCCTAAATTTGTATTTGTATCTCCTATTTGTATCTCCTAATAATACTGAGCCACTATAGTGAGGTATGACAGGTTATTGGGCCATATGCTTAACCCCTGTAATGAGACACTAGAAGGCTAAGACAACAGGCAAAATTTTATTTACAGTATTATTACCTGTTTATGTTTCCTTTTGCCTTTCGTAGAACTTTTGTCAGAAGGCTGCTTCTGGGATTCTCTTGCATGCTTCTCTGGCACATTTTTCTTTTCTGCTTTGGGCACATCAGCATCCTTGTAAGGCTTCCCTGGTATTCTTGATAAGAGGCTCAGGTCAATCTTCACAATAAGTGGGTACCTTTCATCAGGATCGCTGAGTGGTGAAAGAAGCTCTTTCTCTTCCATAGGAGAGAACATTCTTTGCCGAAAAAAGCTGTCATCCTCCTCCATGGAAGATTTAACAGGAGTCCTATTACTCTCGGAGTATTTGGGTGTTTGTGATGAAGGAGGCAGGCTTTCATTTTCATCTGAATCAGAGGATGAGGTATCTGTTTCTATGAATTCCCTGGATTTCTGGGCAGATTTGCTTGAAGCCTTGTATTTCTTTTTCTCTGTTGTAGGCCGAGGGGAAGATTTAGGCTCTTTCTTTATATTAGGTTTTCTGGAACCTTTAGTGGCTGCCTTATGCCTGTTCGAAGGTATGTTTGTTGCCATGTCTACTGGGGTTTCACTTTCTATTTTAAGACCTCCTCTAGGCTCTTCAACAGATGTCTTTTCTGCTTTCTTGGGCTGCTTTTTACCCACAGTCCTCCTCTGTGTTGAGCTGTCACTCTGGGCAGGTGATTTCTGCCTGCCACGACTGCCCTCTGAGCCCTTTTGGGTGGGTTTGGAATCTCGTCCAGGTGTTGAAGAAATCGAGTCCTTGGATCCACTTTGATCAGTGTACCCACTTCCTGTTCCCTGATCCCGTCCCTCTTTTTTGTAGCCTTGTGAGGATGGGATATTGCTGTCCACAGATGAAGCTGGTGACACTTTATGTGAATTAACTTTGTTCAACCAGTTATCCAGTTGCCACTTGTTTGTTGGCGGTGGCTCTGGCTAAAAACAAATTTAAAAAAAGCTCTGTTAGATACAGTGTTTCACTGTAAGATGGCTTCCATCTTTTCTGCAGCTGTACTATGCTGCAAGCCAAAGCAAGAGGTGCACCCGAGCAACTGAGGTCATTAACTAATGAAAAAAGCATACAATTACAAATAGCAGTTCTCCCTTTTCTTCAACCAGAGGAGCTGCAATCCACAAGAAGCACTTGCTGCCATGGCTTTCCAGACTTAAAGCTACTGGTTTTTAAGCTACTGTTCCCATATCTTACTTCTGCACTCCAAGAGATAACTATGGTAAAAATCACCTCAAATAACAAGTGTGTGCTTATAAATAACATCATTATCATATCCAAGTACAGGTACTTTAGCAAAAGAATATTGAATGAATGCGGAAATAATTCTACACTTGACAGATGAAGTTCTTGTTAAAAAAAAAAAAAGAAACTGAGAACATGTTCATTTTTTCTGCTTTTAAAACTCAGGATCAATGCCCAACCACAGCCCAAATGCGTGACAAATCCTACCTCAGGGGATGCACTCTGTGACGGTTCATTAGCTTCACTATCACTGGAACTGCTTTCACTTTCAGAGTCAGATCCTGAACTGCTTTCAGATCCACTATGGCTGCTGGAGTCATCCCTTGAATTGTCTGCTCCTTCACTGTTATGCTGTGAAGGTTCAGAACTACTGAAAACAACAGGGAAGAAAAATAAACAAACATTACTCAGTACACAAAGGCATCCTGGAAGTTCTTCCATTAGGAAGAATAAAATGTAATATTTTAACTAACATTTGCTAAAGAGTTCAATGCAGCTGAGCACAATTCACCTTGTTCCCCTCCCCCCCTTCACAATGTTGTTCGTATAATTTGCAGAATGTGTGTTATTTAGCCACTGATTAAACTCTAATCACCTTCTGTTCTCATTGAAGACAAACAACATCACTGATTTTAGAAATGAGATCAAGCCAGGAGTGCTGACTGGACCAAACATCACTACTGTTGGATTGCAGCACAGAAAGTAAAGGAATGCCTACCTTCCAGGTGTGCTCCGTGGCACTGTCTTATCACAGTCCTGCAATTAAGAAGAAGAGCATGAGGCTTCTAGAAGTTATTTTAGAGTTGCATATATGCAATTACGTTGCAAAGTGTTGGTTTAAAGTCTTAAAGATTTTAAATACTTAGCCTGAAGAGTGTTCTAATTCAGAAATACAAAAGTTTAAATTTGCCTGCCTTTTCCTTGTATAGAAGGAAAATTTTATCCAAGCTTTTACCATAAATGTGTCATCTCAGAACCCTCTATATTCTGACAGCAGTTCTGAGACTTCCTATTTTCTCCACTCCCCCATACCATGTTTTAGAGCCAGATGATACAAATTTTTAGCATGCTACTCCCGAAATGTCCTATGTCCTAGCAGTTAACCAACTAAGCGTACTATCTTCAAGTTTTCCATGTGAAAAAATAACAAAACAGCAGAACTGAAAACAGCAAAAAAACTAGTGTGGGCTACTGCTGGGTAGCATAAATTCAACAGGTGTTTTATTCAGCATGTTGAATGCCTCTGGCTGGAGTTGCACAAAATTAATACCAACAAAGAGGAAAAAGGAGATGATAAAAATAAAGGAGCTTCTAGACTTGTGGTTACAGATGCAACCTGGGAGTAAGAGACACACACAGCAGCTCTCATCCTAGTTGCTGCATGGAACCATGTGTGCCACGCACTCCTTAGCCAGCACAGCAGAACATGAGGGTTCTCTCTCTAAGTGGCAGCCCATCATGCGTGTGTTTGGAATAGACTGTTTCCATTTCACAGGGAAAGCCCATTGGAAAACAAAGCGTGACTCTCTAGGTACAAAACAGATGATTTTCCCCAGATTTGCATTTTAGAATACCCGAAGTTTGTTTGAAAACTTGATAACTGTTTTTTGTATCTCAATTGCAAATCTTCCTTAAGCAGTTTACTTTGCTGTTGGAGTACTGAACACTGCTGAAGTAACAAACTGTCAATATACTTAGTATATCTTTCTGAAACTTGGGTATCTCATGAACATACCTGCTCTCCATCGCTGTCTTCACTACTGCTAAGTTTTAAGTCATCTTTCAACATACTAAGTAAGTAAAAGGGAGAAAGTGAGACAAGTCTTTCCATGTACCTTAATTACATTCAAAGCATTCTTCTATATTCCAACAAGTTACTGTTTATACAACAGAGCTGGGTGTGTGGGTGAAATCCACAAGTTACCATTTAAAACATTTAACGTTTAAGAATAGCAAATTAAGTCATTCTTTAGAGAAAACTATGGACTGTAGTGCTTTGATTCCTTTGTTCATTCTTTTAAGTTTAGAAAGGAATTCTGACACGTTTTACGAATGCAGGAGGAGCTAAAACATCTGTGTTCAAGCTCTTATACACAATGGCCAAGAATACTTTTTTACATTGAATTAAGAAATGTAAGACTTGTGACTGCTTCCTGTCTAGTGGCAAAAACCCGACTGTTCTACAAGGTAGATTTTGTATTATTCTTCAAAGGTATAATATATGCACATACTATTTAATGATACTGAAAGTACAGGAACACAATGAAAACATAGTGGGGTATTTGTGCTTATTTAAAAACACCTTTATTACAAAAATAAAACATCTTACTCTGTCTGGTTCGATTCACATCTGGAGAAAGAAGATAAGAAAGGATTAGAATACTTCCCAATTTCACAGTACAGCTGTTCTACTTATAATCTGAAAAGAAACACCAACCTCAAGAATCTAGTTCCATATCTACTTTTCGCTGCTACCCTTATCAAAAGATGCATTTATCTCATTTTTAATGGTTTTTGAACAGAGCACAATCACTTTATCAGAAATTCTATTGACACAGCAAACATCTTCTCATCCCTCTTCCCATGCACCTCACTTCAACTAATGTTCAGTGCTAACTCTAGTTCTTGCATCTTCCTGCATTCTCCTGTTCTGGAACCAGCACAGCTCTTTCATCACTGCTACAACAAAAGCAAAGCCAAATGATGAACTGCTATTGCTACCACTTATTGAAGTGGCCATGTATAAACATCTGAAACCTCATGTTTTCAGAAAACTGACTAAGTCTATAATAAATAAATAAACAAACAAACTAGTCTTCAATTATTTTCCATCTCCTTCTCATATATCACGTTTTTTAATTTTATTAATACTGAAAAATGTACACAGACAAGCAGAAAAACTAAACTTCATTTCACAACTGCATCTCAGCAAGTATTAACTTAGAATTCCAGATCTCCAGGCTCCACAATCGCTTTCAATAAACATTCCATCAGCTGGTATGGGCATTTCTGTTTGGAAGTTCCATTTAAAGAGCATATAATCAATTTTCAGGTATGAATAAAGCAGACCACAGTTAGAATCTTCTTGCTGCTTTTTATTCTTTCTTTCTGATGTCTGATTAATGAAGCATAATGTTAGGTCTGTGTACACAACTAATAAAAATGCCTGTCAGTCACAAGAGAATGAGTAGTACAAATTTAACTAGATCCCAAACTTAATTTACCATCTTCTCTAATAACAGAACAGTTCCTCATCCAATTTGTGCAACTGCAACAAGCTGCTTCCAGCTGACAGCTTAGCAGTGCACGTTTGGTAAATCCTGCCCCATCCTGCCCATTCTTACATGCTGATACCTTTCCAGTTCACAAGCCAATTCCTAGGGCCAAACTCCTGCTCAGCATCCTATAGCTGACAAGAGGGCAGCAAAATGGAAGGAAGACACAGTGCTTTTGTTACTTACACCAATGCACCATTATTTGCACTATTGTCCCTGAAAATGGCTTGAAAACAGCCTTTTTTTCCCTGTCAGTTAAATGCAAGCATGACAAAGAGTGTGCAAGAACTGACACGTTCTATTAAAGCAGCAGCTACATTTAAAAGTTGACTGTTATTTGAGCAATGTTTTCTTCTCAACTGCTACTTACGATTTGGATTGATGGCCATTGGATGTTTTTGATGAAGGATTATATCGTTCTAGAAGGCAAAAGAAAAAAAGCTGTACACTTTTAAACTCAGACAGCAAAACAGTCACTCCAAAGTGGCCAGAAGCAAACAGGCTTAGCTAAACAAACTCAAGAATGGCCGAGTGAGCAGGAGAAAGAGGGACCAGCTGACGTCAGGTGCAGCCTCTCACTGATTGACCAAGTGAGCGGAGCAGAGACAGAATGCCAAGAGAAACAACCACTTTAATCAAGAAAATCTAGAAGGCTTTTTCAAATCATTGCTGTCTAAGCCAACACATGCTTAATTTGTTTCTGAAGGTTGTTTGCTTCTATTGAGGTAGGACAGAAGTGACTATCCTGAAGTAAAAGAGGTCTAGATTAGATATTAGGAAGAAATTCCTTAGTCAGAGTGTGGGGAGGCCATGGTACTGCTGCCAGAGAGCTGTGGCTGCTCCATCCCTGGAGGTGCCTGAGGCCAGGCTGGATGGGGCCTGAGCAGCCTGGTCTGGTGGGAGGCTTGGAACTGGATGGAATCTCAGGTCCCTTAGAACCCAAACCATTCCATGAAAATTATTCTATTACCTTCTGCATGCTGAGTACAGGAGATCAATCAGCCTATCAAGTTTTTTTTTTTTTTTAATGTTTCAGCATTCCTACCCAGCTTTTTGGTGAATGAAAAGTCTTTGAATCCAAAAAGCAAACTCATAAACCAAATCCTACAGTCCGAACACATACTGATATAATCTGCTTTTCAGTTTGTCTTCTTTTTCCTTCCCTGTTCTTTAGTTCTAGTAAATTACTAAGCATAGCACGACAGAAACAAGACTCGAGGCTGTTAGAAGTCTCACAGAAAATTGAAGCAGGAGCTGAGAAATGGTTCTGTGCTTTTATCTACCCCGCCTCTCTGATTACATACCTAAAAGACCAGATGTTTCCAGAATTTAAATCTATTGGCTAGCTTCATGGAATTAAGTCTTAATTTGTTTTCCTAATTCCCCACTGTATTAGGTGTTTAGATTAAGCTGCTTGTGAATACCTAAGAATAAACCATTCCGCTTTTACTATTTAATCTGTTTAATCACTTTGACAGGGACTGGTAAGGCTGCTGGAAGGCAACAGCACAAATCTAATTCAGTTTTGCCAGATGCGTTACCTGGTAAAATGCTTCATTTCAGTAATATTCAAAATGAAGATACAGTCAAATAGGAATAAAAGGTGCATTTGTCTAAAATTCGGAAATACATTCTGGGATAATACACTCAAGAGCATCAGGGACCCAACTTGAGTCCTTGATCAGTTTTCCTTGATTTTTATAGCCACCAGAGTGAAAGTGGACAAGAAAAAGGAGAAAATGCATTGTGCTTTTTTTTATTAAAATATGAACATGTGCATTCTGTTGCTTTCCAATATGCCCAGGGGTTTTCTATGTGGGTGCTTTGTTTTCACACTCAGCTATTTTCAATCAAATCAACCAAGGAAGCTTATTTTCAAAAAGTAACAACAAATTGAAGATACATTTTTTTTTCTTTCCCTTTTTCTAGAAGTTATGAGTGAATTACATAACAGTAATCAACTCTCCAGTTCTCAACAAGAAGCCACAAATAAAATCAAGTGTTTGTTTTGTAGACCTTGAGAAAGTACAATCTTAACATACGGTCCATTCCATTTCCAGTCTGGAGAGTCTCATTCTTTAAAAGCCTGACTTCTTAAGGGGTACTAACAATACTCAATTGTAACAAAAACACAGCACATAGGAAAGGAAGTTTAATATACTTACTCTGTTCTCCACTGCCAAAACTGGACTGTTGAGACTCCTAGGGGAATAAAAGATCACAGGAGTTTTTTCAAAGGGAATTTTAACATATCAAAAATCATGCCATAATCAAGCTATTGTTCTGACTTTAAAGGATGGCACCTATCCTCTATAAAAACAACAAAACAAAACCAACACCTACTCCCAAAGAAAAACCAACATGCTAAAAACAAAACCCCACAGTAACAGCCAACTAGAAACACAAAGCCTTTATCTGGGCCCAAGCTGCCTTCACCAGCTGTGGCAGAGCAGCAAGCACATGGGAAGAGCACCTGAGATTTCTCATCCTTAGCTCATCTGTCCCACTGAGCCATCTGTCCCTGCCTGCTTGCTTTGAAGATGGGCCACGTGCAGTTGTCATACACAGTACCTGAAACTCCAGAAACACTGCGTAACTTCTGCAAGCCCTATCTTCCCTTTCTCACCTTCACCCCTCTGTCTTTGGTGAACAGCCAAATCCTCATGTAACTGGGCAACCTGGCTATACAAAAGCCAATAGATAGTGATAAATACCTGCCCGGATGTATAATGGATTTGCTGTCTATGAATATAGCTTTGAAAGATAAAGCCTTGCCAATTCTAGCACTGGCACGATCTTTGGTATTCCTGTTCCAGAAAACCCAATTCTGCCTCCTGAAACACAGTACATTATCAAACACTTGAAACATTAAACACTTTTTTTTTTTTTTTTTAAATAAACAAATACACAGAGGGTATCGAGTTACCAAAAACCTACTTCTAAGCTAGTGTGCCATTTTAAAATAGGACCTTCCTGACCTCCTTTTAAAATGAGGACAAATGCTGACCTTCAGCATAAAAACAGAGACTATTTGAGTCAATTCACCAAACTGATAGTGACAGTGAATTGCAGGGGTTTGGGGTACAGCTGCACAGCAGTCTTTCGAAACAGCCAGCTCAGTGATGTATGCAGTCACGTATGCAATTTCCAAACATAACTTTATAAACACACAAAAGCTCTACTTGGCAAGGCATACCTACATATATCCAACTTCCTTTAGCTTTTTTATTTCAAAAGTGGCGGCAGTCGAAATAATGACTTGAATGAGCATTTTGCCAGTGGTATAGAGAAAGAGTGCAATTTTCTCAAAAACAAAACCTTTTAGAGAACTTTAAGATGTTTCAAATGCCCTTCATTTTACTAACTGAAAGAAGAGACATTAAAGTTAACCTGTGTTTCAACTGCAAAGTCAAGATCAAGTTGTAGAAAAGCCTTCTTACTTCAACAGAAAGCAAAAGCCATACTCTCTTCAGCATATAAACTGATTCTTATCTTACACATAGGTTCAATGAGTGCAAGCATGATTCCTCAGTTTCCTTTTTCCTATCAACTTAGATGAGTAGACAAGACTGATAAAACATAAGTAAAAAAAAAAAAAAAGACCCTATAGTAATCAAAATACCACATATGCAGAACAACTGTATTGTGCTGAGCACAGGATGAGTAACTGGCACTGTTCTCACCAGTATACATACCAAAAATTCTGCAGAACGTGTCTGCCTCAATGCTCACCTCAGCCAGCCTCCTATTTCTAAGGCTTTATTCCAGTTAAGAGCACTTTAATGAGGTGTTATGTTTAAATGTGCTTCCAAATAACTCGCCATCTATTTTGCCTTTGAATAAATATGTCTTTCAGAATCTCAAAGACTAATAAACAAACAGAAATACATATTTTTTCAAGTACAATTTCTTGAGAAAGAAGAAATTAAGTTTTAAAGGAAGGACGTGCTTTTCACAAAAGCACAGCAGGCTGCTGCAGTTAGGTGGAAGACACTTCACCAGGTAACAAAATCATTGCTTGTACTCTGACACAAAACGGTGGTGGGATTAGAATGGTAGTTAAGTATATAATTCTTATCTTTTGGTTTGGCTGCACTGCAGGCTGTGGTGAATAGGACCCGTTTCCATTTAATGCCTGACAACCCAGGTCAGACCTCACTTTCCTTTCTCAGAAGAAAGTTCTGGATTACAAGGCATTGACACAACTGACCACTGCCTTCACAATTACTTCAGCACAGGGCAAGAGTGAGCAAACCTGGAGACACAGCAGACCTCTGCTGAGATGTGTGCAGGTCCTGCAGGTCACAGCTCAGGTACGCAGCCACAACAGCTGGCAGTGATGTCACGCTCCCTGCCTTATGATGGAAAGCTTCCACCCACTAAGAAACAGCTGCATTTCTGGATATATTTTACAAACACGCCAGTCCTCCTGCTTTGGAGTTTTTGACTGTGAGCCCATGGCTTTAAAAAGACTTACGTAGGATAAAATTATAGAGTGTTAGGTCATAGGATAACATTTTTATCAAGAGTCAGGAATCTGTTTTTCACAGCACTCATAAAACTTTTCATGACCTATTTTCATGAAGTTTTATCTTCTGATTCAAAGACTTCCTGATAATTACAGGATATATTTATAGCAATGCAGACAGGCCCCAGTCGGGATGTTGGGTCCCTGCAAACACTCGCTGCACACAGGGAAAATGATCTTATGCCAGCAGTCTTACACATAAAGTCCACCCATCCACCAAAATGAGCCTAATTTTCTACGTGCAGGCAAAGTGTACCAGACTTCTGCACACAAAAGGAATGCTGTGAAATGCTGCAGCATGTAACTTGTAAATAAACACAGTATTAAAGAGAATGAGATTTTCTAGAACAGTGTGGCTTGATCAAAGTAAACCAGTGCTGTGTTCAGCTCTCTGCATTCTGTTCCGGGTCTGGGCTGTACAAGCCTATGGCTCACTAACTTGCTGGAATTCTGAGAAATCCCACTGCCAAGAATGACAGAGGGGAGAAGGCAGAGGAAATTACAGACTTTGGAAACAGAGAATTTGACAAAGTTCCATGGCTAAGATGTGCAGCCACAAAATAAAAAAGCTGACAAAAAGTCGAAAGACTCGGGGCAGCCATAAATGGAATTTTTCACAAACTTAGTGAAGAAACACAACCCAGGTTGACAGATTCAAGAAGAAAAACACAGCCTCCCTTTTGTGTTCAGACGTCAACAAGGCTGTGCAATCTTATGTAGTTCCTCTCTGCAGCACAGAGGCCTCTGTATTTCTGCACACCTTCTTCCCCTCCCCAGGTCAAACAGGCACTGAGAGAAGAACGCTGACAACAGAGGCTGCTGACACCAGAGCTGCCCATAGCTCTGGGCTATCCAGGAGTGGCAGTAACAGAACCACTTAACCTTCCATCAGTCTGTGGGACTTTGGTGAATGTGCACTTGCAACACAGCCTGGAACCTTCGGTCAAAAAACAATCATGAGCTGCAGTTGGAGCCTTTTGGAAAGCTGCATTCGCCCACAGCTCTCCTGGGTAAATCACCCAGCTTCAACATTTCTCCCACTGTGAGGAAACTGCTACAAGGGGCTCACGAGAACATTTACTTACGGCCAACCATCAAAATTACAGAACACCTTTCTTTTCAAACTAGATTGTTATAAAGATTAATTCAACCTGCTTATTTTGGGGTTTAGAGCTGATTTTCAAATGGGAAAGTAGATTCAAAAACATCTTCATGGTAAGAACACTAGAAAGTTGATGTTAAAACATTTGTGTAACAGCACAATTTGTTTTGACAGTTTTCATTAGAGATCTCAGGGAGAAAATTTTTAAAAAGTACTTCACTGAATGGTTTGGGAAACAATTTGGATCAAACGGGAAACACAGAGCAGTTAAACGGTGCTAAAAAAGCACCAGCAGTCTGGTCAGGAAAAGAGGAGCCTTCATGATTAGGAAGGCAACTTTTAAAAGGCAACCATTATAACTTCTGCAAGATGGCATCATGCCACATTAGCAACCCATTTTGGAGATATGTTGAGTCTTGAGAAGAATTATATTTTCAAGTTAAATCAACTTCTGTTAATCAGTAGATACAGGAAGCAAAACGTGATTCAGCTACCTCAAACCAAACTGTACTTGCTAAAGTCACTACCCACAACTATCTCCCCTGAACACTCATCAGCCTACAAAATACTTCAGATCACAGAGCAGCATTTCAAGGCAAACAGTCACTGATGCCAGTCTGACTGAACGCACTGTTGCTGAGGATGCAAGATCCAGCCCTGAGGGGGAGCAAGCAGCTGAGAGCTGAGAATGAAAACCCCTTCCTCAGAGGTGTCAGCTCAAGCAGGTCTCCTGGAAATATGCCCATACTGCCAACAGCAACAAAAAGCAACCTCCTTCAAATCAACAGCTTAAACACTTCAGTAGTTACTAAGCACATGGGATGCTAGGAAGGCATCTTTCAGGGCAAGTGACCTCAAAATTCCTTTAGCAAGCGTCTGGTTTGAAAACTTAACTTTTTTTTTTTTTTTGTAGTTGAAAAATGTAAGACCTCACAGCACTACTAAGGGACTTCAAAATTATGAGGAAAGTTGAGTTTAAGCAGAAAAGTACATTTACATTTCTTAGCATTTACCACTGCTTGCCAGATAGAGGTAAGCAATGCTTGCTTCTGCAAACAATAGTGCAAAGTGTTTTCCCCAACAGAGAAAAAAGCTCTATGGCATTTTAAAACTTCACAAATACGTTAAAGACAGTTTGAATTTATGAAACTAATTTTAAAATAATCTCACATGCGTTTTTGCAAACCACTCTGTGTAAACCAGAGAAAACAAAATGACATTCTTTGTAAGAACAACAATGCTGTGAAGTAAGATAAAGAGATTCAAGGTATGGACACAAACATAGAACTGTACAGAATTCAATTTAAAAGAGTTCCAAAATCTTGACCATTAACAGGAGCTAATCTTTTAACAGCATTCAGTATTTGACCACAACACTGACCTTTGTTGGAAAAGGAAATTTTGATGGTTCAGTTTTGCATGGTGTATGAATAGCAGTCAGTGGAGGAGGCCAAGAATGGGTCATCTCCTGTAACCAGAACAAAAAAAAAAAACAACCAGCTATTAGCAAAGCAAAAGCACAAAAATTTCAAATTACAATCCTGATTCGAATGGTAACTACCTTTCAATTTGCAGTTCACTGTTCATAATTCACTAAGCTTAATATTCAAATCTTAATTTCCCAAACGTATAATGAAGATTTTGCACAAAAATATTTCTGCCCATGAAAACAGATAAGACACAGCAACAAAACACAAATCAATGAAATTGGTTTGCCTGAACAGAAACTGAAGTCTGATCACTTCAGGCTGTGAAGAGTGCATGTGAGACAAAGGGTAAAAAGAAGAAACCTGGAAAAGGGAAGCACAGAAAGTTTGAAGACAAAAGTGAAAATCAAAAGCCTGAAGCCAGAAAGAAAGTGTCTTGTGTTCACTCAGAGCATCTCCAATAACCGTGGAGTACTGAAGATCAGAACAAGTAAGTTATGCAAATGCTCACGGGGCATCCAATGATACCTTTGTGATAGCAGACATAAGAACAGGGGTCACAAGAGGAATAAAAAGATTTGAGAAAATAACATATATAGAAAAGAAGGGTCTGCTGCTGGGTAGAAAAAAATTATTATAACCTAAATTGATACTGGAATGTAAGGACTCTAGTTTGGTGGAAGAAATGGTTAATTCTGAGGAGAACAGCACAGGGTTGGGATAGAAGAAAAGCAATTCAATGAGGATATCCAGGAGATGAGCATGCCCAGCATGCACAGTTCTGCTTCCAGTGTTCCCCAGTCTACCTGCTTTAGAGGATTAACTGAGGAGTCCTCCTGTAATGACTTGCAGTCAAACCAATTTGAAAGGTACTAATCCAGTGCAGAGTACTTTCCACCTCCTTAGTAACGTTTGTGTATTCAACAAATAAATTATGAACAAAACCACATAGAACTTACTTTCAGAATTTCATCCACGCAGCTCACATCACCAGATGCTGATGCCTAGAAATCAAAACTCAAGATTAATGTCTCCTAAAGCAGATTTTCTCTAAAAGATCCCAGGGGTATGAAGCAGTTAAAAATAAACTTCGGTCCTTATCATGATTCATCTAGACTCTATAGAGATACAAACAGATCTTGTTAATTCTTTTCAGCAACATTAATTTTAATATCAGATAGACTCAAATTTTTAAAGGATGAGTCACATCCAGTTATGAAAAGCAAATACATCAGATCTATGAAACTGCCACAATAATCTCTTACTTTTCACTTGACAGTTAAAGTGATCTTAAGCAGTCAGGGATATTAAAAACTTCTGAGAGAGGAAAAAAAAAATCATAGCTTTCAATCATCCCTGGGAAGACATGACTGTATAATATCTGAACTCAAATGGATGACCATGAATATGCAATAAGGCAAGCTGCATTATGAAGTAAAACATAGATGACAGCATGAAACTAGAAACAGCAATAACTGTGAAACTATAAATCTTTTGCATCCCTGACACTACAAACAGAAAGGAAGCAAAGTTACTGCATGTTTTACTCCGTCAATGTTAGCACATGAAGTCTTTCAGAATATGGAAATAATTCATTTTTCAGCTCTCCTTACCTGTTTCCTGGATCTTATTTTGCTCTTTATTGAAATTCCAGGCACAAATGTTTTTTTTGTTTTGTTTTCTTTTTCTAGCTACAATTCAAATAGTATGAGATGCAATGACATTTTATTATTAAGAAAGGCACTCTCCTTATATGTGAGCTATAGTCAATGTCAGTGCCCAACAGTATTCTGCATTCAGCATACCTGATGAGAAGTCTGAACTTTTGTCAGTTTGGCATGCTTTGGAGTTAGCTTATTTTGCTTAGGCAAAGCTATCTATAAATTATTACATTCTTCAAATGAAAATCTGAGGCAGGCAGATAGCATCACTTGTCTAAGACAACATGGCTCACAGTAAAGACAATACATGTATACAGGTTGTCAAAATAGTTGAGCATCCTGCTATTTTACCAACTTCTGACTATGATTTAAAGTACTCTAGGAAAACTTGTCAGTCTGGGTTAGGTTAGCCCTTCTCAGTACATCTCATAGGCTTTGCTAAACAAAAATCACAATATCCGTATGGAAGAAGCATTTGTGCATTTCCCAGTGACAATACAGGTCTTCACTGCAAAAGTTTAAGATGGTTTACTTAATAAAATATAAAATTTACTGTAAACAAAGTTTATTGAGATTTTAAAGAAGCTGGAAAATCCCAGCCCAAAGGGATTCACGTTCAAGAATCCAGTAAATAACAACTTACATCGAGTGGTTGAGATGGTATTTTCAGCTTGGTTAGATGTGCCTTGCTACTAGGCTTCAGCTCATTCACACCGCTGCTGTGAGTCTGGCTACTGTAGTGTTCGGAGGATAACTTTGGTTCCATGGATTCCTGTCCATCCATTGGCCTTACATAAGCAGTGGGTTTCTGTAACATTGAACTGGACTTGGACATAAGTGAAGGTGGAAAAGACTGATTAGAGTGCTGTCCACTTGAAAATGAGGGCACACGTGAAGGAGAGTCCCAGTTGCCATCCGGATCCCGGGGAGATTTTGAGCGTTGATGTTCTTTGCTGTGATGATCACTTCCATGAGATCTCGAATGGCTGGAGCTTAATGAAGAAACAGCAGGTGGTTTCCCAGGGCTGGAAGAACGGGATTTGGAGTGTTCTGATCCATGCTGGCTTTTTTTGCGACTGCTGCTGCTGCTGTACGAGTCACGGTCGTGCCTCTGGCCACTGCTGCTAGTGTTATTGCCACTGCCACGCTGACTGCTGTGGCCGCTCTGTAAACCCGAGGACCGTTTCTGAGATTGTGAGGAAGTGCTAGGTGCTGGTCCTACAGGAGTCCATTTGCTACTCTGATGTGAGCTAGTATTATGTCTCTGATCACCAAAGAAACTTTGGTTTGATTTTTCATCTGCTGTTGATGGTACAGTAGGTTTGGGAATTCCAACAAGCTTTGGTAGCGATCTATCTCCTATAAGATCATCCATTTCATCATAATTACCAAGCATGCTCTGTATGCGACTAGATAATTTGTCTTCTTTGCTGGTCTGTGAAAATCATTAAAGAAAATGCAAATGCAAAACACAGCTTTAAAGTCACAATTTCATTTTCAGTTAATTGACTTGACAACTATTGTAGTTAATCTAAATTTCAAGGCTAAGATCATGGCTAACATCCAAGTCTTTTTTCGCTAGTGTTTCCGATTCCCAATTTTGTTCTTTAAGCAGTAATTTCACACCCTATGGCATACAGAAAAGATGTACTTCAGCAGCACTTCTTCTTTTCTTATGCTGATATCTAATTACTGAAAAATCACATGGGCATTTTCCACCTTCCCCACCTCTGTTCATGGGCGAAGCTATTGCTCCCAATATGAACTGACTGCCCATAGATATCCATAATATCCATAAGAGCCATGTAAGGAACAGAGATTCCCCCATCGTTAAATCCCATGTTCTAAAACCTTTTAATATTATAAGAACAGCACCAGTGTACACCAACACCAGCTCAGAAAGATGGCAGATAACCTGCCCAACTTCCCCTGTTGACAGAAACTCACCATAAGGGTCAACAATACTACTGAGTTATTTCTCTATTTGACTGCCTGAAAATTGGAAGATATTTATTTTCAAAGTCTGTTTCTGATCTTTAATTTTTTTCATTAATCCTTGTTCTCTCTGTTTCATGTTGAATTCTTAAATTTTGAAAAGCCAACTAACTTAAAAAACAGAAAACATCTGTCTGCTTCTAACAAAGAAGTAACTAATGATTCTATTAAAATCTTTGATCAACTTTAACACTAATTGCAACTTTGCCCAGCTATCATACAGCCTACAAAGCATCTGTGAAGAAAATTTATCCTTCAGTCTGGGAAGACACAAAAATGCCCAGGACACAAAACTCAAAGAAAAGCATTACTGAAAGTATTGGTTTTTACAGAGGCAGGAGAAAGGAAGCAAACTCAAATGTCAGCTGTATCTTTTTATCAAAGACTACCATGGGCTGAATGAAAGAACTACCATTAGCAAATAAAACATCACTTCTATGTGTTCTTCTGCATAAATGCCCCTTTAAAACTTCTCTCTTGACTGTACATCAAAAAAGATCTCCAATATAGATCCACCCCTAATTACCACCGTCTTAGTGGACACTGAGGAAACAAACATCTGTCCATAGAAAATAACAACAAAATTCCTACAGGCATAGAAGGGAAGGAAAAGGAACAAAATACTTTGAAATACTTTACACTTATTTTGACAGTTTACAGAAAGAAAGGCAAATGAACTTCAGTGTTTTTTACTGATGCCCAATTCATACTTATTCTCTAAAAAATGAAGCTGCTGTTAAAAATCTATATGGTCAATAGTTTTTAGTCCCATGTATTAGAAGGTAAAGGAAACAGGCAAAAGCAAGTAGTCACACAAGTGAAAAATATGACTGAAATGATCCGAAGATCCCTTTATCTTAAACCCCTACAGATAAACAGTCACAGTGACCCAATTCTCCCCAACCAACTACAGTAATGCAATTCTTTCCTTCTCTGTTCATCTTTTTCTCCCTCAAAATTTTCTCTTTTCCCTGAGAATTACAGCTGACTTTAAATAAGTGGACAGAGCACTTTATAAACTCAATGTTGTTATTTTCTTATATTCTAATTCTTATTCTGGGCAAAGAAAGTGGATTTATTTAATCTGCAGCCAAATTCTAGGCCTCCAGCCAAGTTTCAACAGGGATTTTGAGTCGTAGTTCCATACAGCACCACTTAAAGTTGATCAGGAATAGTTGAAACACTAACTAGTGCTTCAAAGAATGTATTGGTGGGCTGCATGCGAGATTTTAAGAACTGTAGACACCATCACCATAAGGTCTGTAATGCATTGGTCATATAAAGTTTTACTTAGTAGTAAAATAATATCAGCTAACCCTCTCTACTCAGTTATGTAATTTTTAATTGGTATTTATACTGGAAAAACTTTTGTTGCCAACACAGTTATAGGAGTTCTTTCCTGAAAAACCTGCTGGGGTTTTTTGCGTTGTTTCTTTTTTGCCCTCCAAATCAGTTTTACTGAATCCCAACCAGCTTTAGTTAGCTTCATACTTGTGGGATTTGGTTATCACGCACAGCAAAGGGAGGACAGGAATCAAACAACCACCTCACAGCTTCCCTCCTGCGGGAGAAAAGTCTTCAGTTGCAATGTTTGACCTCCTGCAAACAAAACTGTGATAAGGGAATGGTTTTGTTTTCAAAGTGGGTTTTGAACTATGTAATAAAAACTCTAAATAGTACCACTTAAATGACCACTGCAGCAGAAGCAAAATAAAGGTTTTTTAAAAAAATAATTATATTGTCTCATTATCCCTTTCCTCACTTCAAAACAGTCCCTGCTTCATAAGCATTAGTTCAAATCTGCCAATTAGTCCAAATACTTGTTCAAACGCTGGTTAAGGTGCCAACCTAAAAAGATTTCAGATGAAAACAGACTTGAAGTACATATTTCCATACAATTTCTGTTTATAAAAAATTAAAAAAAAAAAGCATTTGTAAAAATGGCATAAACTCACAACTTTGTAGGGTTCAGCAAAGAGAGGAGAGTTGGGCGGAAAGGCTTCTTCACCCTGCTGGATTTCCTGATTCCGCCTTTCCCTTTCTTTCATTCGCAGCACATTTCGGTCTTCACGGTTCATGTTGCTGCAAAAAACAACCAACAATTTCCTGGTCACAGAAGGAAAGAGGAGGGATGGCAGCACACAGTTACCCCTGTTTTGCTAAGAGATCCCATGTAAGAACCCTCCGCTGACTGCAGCTCCTCAAAACTGAAAAGAAGTTTGTCCAGCTTAAACCATCTCACGTTTAGAGCAGCTCTAACCTACAATGTTTCTGATAGGGACAGTTTATGCAGTTAAATAAATAAATCACAGAGTCCTCAGGAAAACAACTGGAAGTTGGAGCCTTCAGCTTTGTTGGCACTGCGATGCAGCAGCCAGAGCTTGTCCAGATTCCAGGAAATCCAGAAGGATCGCCCCCCTCATAGCCCAGCAGACAGCACACTTCACTTTACAATGTTCTCCTACTGCAAAAATGCACAGCAAAAAAAAAATAGAAACCTCGTGTATTACAAATCTGCCTTGGAAGTCTGGTCTTGCTGCTTGCATTAACAGCAATGTGTCGAGTTCTAGCAACACAAAATCTAAAAACAAGTCAGCAATGGTTTCCTTTGTGGCTCATAAAGCACCAGGACTTACAGGAGTAAACAAAATAAGGGACAAATAAGGTCTCTAACTCATTTTGTGTGCCATACTGTACTTTGCATTAAGAGATTTATAAAAGTGCCTTCTTGATCTACAAAATTACAATAGGTGCTTCCAGAACATAAATACTGATCCAATCTAAGTGTAAAATGAAGAAGGTATCTGCTCAGAAAGTCATTATTTCATATTTTCACACAGCTGCCCGATTATTAAAAATACAGCATCATAAGCCTGCCACAGAGCTCACCTGTAAGCTCTACAAAACCAGCTATTCCATTCTAGGCAGAACTTCCACCAACCACTCAGCTTTTTAAAAACCATTATTTGTGCTTTCTACCTTAAAATCATTTGAAACTTTCACTGCAATTTCTTACTCACCTGGCTTCATTTTTTTTTCTACTGCTCTGTCTATAAAAAAAATCCACAGGGACATCAAAACCAGGAGAAATCTCCAGTGTAAGTTTAAACACATGATGCTTTAGGGTGTGAGTTTTATGGACTTCCCTGAAATACCTGCACTGTAAATAAGGTAAAAGCATCAGCACAATCCAATCTGAGGCTGACATCAAGCCTAGGAATGTGCTAACTTTTAACGTACATCTGAAAATCACTTCTCCAATTGTGCTAAAATCAGCTGAACTCGTGCAACTGCAAGTGAATGCAAGTCTGCCTGCTGAGGGAGGGCCCTGCACACCGCAGTGCAGCCAAACCACCAACATAATTTTCACCCTAATGGCAAAACGTAAGCCTGCTTTGAAAGTTGGAGGTATAAGCAGCTTTTTTTTCCTCCTTCAGATTTCTCATATATCCAAGATTTAAACAGAAATGAATGTCAGAGTTAATTACAGACAGTGACCTGTTAAAGCCAACCGTTAGGATCTATGCCATTTTCCTATCAAAAATGTCAGCAGGGAGCAGAGTATCCTCACCCACCCCTGAGTAGTTCATTCCCATGAAAGCACTAAGCTTGTGAATCATGCACAACTCTCTCTTTAGAAGATGATGATTAACCTTTACAAGTAGAGAGTTACATTTTAACACGAGGATCTCCACTGCTCTTACACAGACAAGCATCACCCTTCAAAACCGTATCAACATCTGTTGCAACTCTTTTGCTGAGGAAACATGCTCAGCATTTGTAACAGTGTCACACAGCAGGAACATTAAAGCAGAGACCCGGTCCAGTTCAGAGCTGGAGCAAAACCAGAGCTGATCTGACTCTACCTGCAAAATTAGTTATCCAAAACACTAAAAAGTGCTTTTCCTAGTACCCATCCTTGGCCTTGTGTAGCACACGGCAAGTAATAAACATCTCCACGAGCAGTCAGCTGGGCTGTATGGGCACCAGGGGTGGGTTTACTTCATACTTTGTTATGGAGGAAGGAAGGGAGGGGAATCACTGATTTGAATGGGATCCAAATTAGGCTTCTAGATCTACTCTTTCAGATCCCTACACAGAGATATTTCAACCACCTTCAAGCTATTAAAATCACACCTGTAGAAAACATGAAAATAAATGAATTCAGTGTGTGTTGATTTGGTGGGCTCTAATTCTGTACTTGGGACAATTCTTCAGTCACATTTATCTCTTGGTTGGACTGGATGATCTTGTAGGTCCTTTCCAACCCTGTGATTCTATGATTCTCTTGCACAGCCATGAAATGGCAGATAACTTTGCCTTTGTTCATGAAAAATAAGTAGTAATGGCACCCTGAAAAGCAAACGACTATGGCCTGCCTAGTAAATCAATACTGCTAGCAATTAACTTCAGCCTGAAGGGATTGCAGAAGTGACTCTTCAGAACACATGCAATTACGTTCATTTTTACAGTCTGCTATCCAAAAATACATTGCTGCCATTGAGGAACGGTGATGCCCTGGCAGTGCTGCCCAGAGCTGTGGGTGCCCAGGGCTGGCTGGCTGGGCCCAGGGCAGCCTGTGCTGGGAGGCAGCCAGCTCTCAGCCACCCCTGGGGCTCAGGCTGCTCCTGGAGGGGATAACAGCTGCCAAACCCCCACCTCCCCAACCCACCCCTGCAATGGGACTGCAGCTCTCTGCTCCTCCCTCCCTGCACGCCAGGCCTGGAAGCAGAAGACAAGAACTTATTGGTTTGTACCTGCTGCTATAAACAGGATCCTGCTATAATTTCCCTTTCCCTCTTCCTGGGAGGCCTGAGCAAATGTGAGAATTCCTAGCAGGATCAGAGGCAGGCTAAGGGAGGCAAAAGTAATGCCCCGCTGCAAGGACCAAAGTCACCTTAATTTCCACATCTGGAGAAAGAAAAGCGCAAAAATTAAAAGAAATTAGAGAACAGGCCTAAAGTACAGCACAGTATTTCCATTCTCAAAGTCTAACTCTACATGCTTTAGTCATTATTTTTGCATGCAGGTAGCCACACTGCACTCAGCACAGCGCACTCAGAATGTGATCTCAGCATGGAACTGAGCATCCAAATTCTGTGCCTATTCTCCAGCTCAATTTGAAGAGCTGAAAGAAAGCAGCACTTCAAGCAGGAAGTTATCAGAAATGTCTGATACCAAAGTATCGGTCATTTATGTCACTTAGGTTAACAGTTAACTGCTGATTTAAATGGACTGAGCAGAGTGTGATCCAAACCACCCATACCAGAAATGTCGTTTTCATTTCTTATAAAGGCAGTTTGGTGCTGCTGCTCACCCCAGCCCACGAAGGCCGTGGCCTTGGCAATGGCTTCCTCAAGCAATTACAACCTTAGACGTTCCAAGCAGCATTATGGAACTGCTGCTCAGCCCTTCCCACCTCCCTTCCCACCGCTCCAGCTCCGGGGTGTCGGGACCAAGCCCATGTATGGGAATTTTGGATCACGATCCCAGTTTAGGAAGAAAAAAAAAAAAAAGAAAAAGAAAAAGCCACCCACGCATCCCTGGAGTTTTACCAGCAGTGCTGTTACAGAACAGAGTGCTTCGGCCAATCCTGGGTAAGGTGCAGGACTCGCAGCCTGCCGTCTCATCCCCCCGAACCACCTCAGGCATCAAACAGCTGTCCTCACACGAGTTCACCTGCACCGCCCCAACAGCAGCCTCACCCCATCCTCCTGCACTGCGCATGGCAGGGCAGTGCCCACCGGGAGCCCTCCCTGCACACCACACAACAACAGTCCCAAACCCACGGCTGTTCGGTGTGGCTCTGGTGGATCTTCAAAGCGTGTTTACAGCACCAAGACTTCCTCCGAGACATCCTCATTTATATCAAGGGCTTTCTTTCCCACTGTCTGAATCGGCTGCGTAAGCAGTAGAAATCAAACAGCTCACATATCCTGTACCAGCTAATGGGCTGTGCTGAACACCAATTTTGTTTGACAACATCTGCCCGTGAATGATAAAGAGTGTTCAGAGAGAGCAGAGAACAAACACACGACGTGCAGCACTTCTGCAGGACGCAGCCAGCAGCACGACGTGCACACAGCTCCCACCGTGGCTCTTCAAAGCAACCAAGCTGGAAATCCTGTTTATAACAGGAATGATGTGTTTCCCAAAGTGCTTTAAAAACGGCAGAAATCGCTTCAATGCCACATCCAGCTCCCTTCCACAGATACCTGTTGCTTATCTTGAGTATTCCTGTGCTTGTATGTAATTCAGGAGTTGCCCATTCTCCCAGCTCACATGCCCAATATGGCGTTGTTACTGAGCCAGTCACTAACATCACACAAACAATCCCCAAATTACTGTCAGCTCAGTATGAATGTACCCGAACAGGAACAGTAAGAAAGGAAGAAGTTTAATAAAACAAACAGTAAACAAAAAGAATAACCCTGCTCCACAAGAACAACAAAGCAAACGCAGAAACACCGATGCACAGAACAGTAAAACACTCAGAACTCATCACTAACACTTACCAAATAAAAGTGAACAAGCAGTCTTAACTTCCAGCTTTCTACACTACGGTAACAAAAAAGAGAACTGCTGAGAAAACCCACAAACCATTTCCTACAGAAGTGCTCCAGCCCTGCACAGAGCAGCACAAATGCCAGGTGAAGTTTAAGGATAACCACAATCTCACAGATACAGAAGCATGACAACCAACCAAGCAGCCCTCACAGAGTTTTGGAACACTACCATAAGATGTGACAGAGAATTTAAATGATATTTGTGTGTTAAGGAGCAGTAAAAAAAAAAAAAGAAAAAAAAAAAAAAAGAAAGCTTTCAAAGGAACGAAGGGTTCCATTTTATTTCTCTCCCTCGCACCTTTCAACACAATGGCTGAAGTTTTCCATCAGCTCTAGTTAATACAGCACTGGTATTCTGCACAAGGGAGGGGTATTTAGTTTGGGATGGCTCCAACTGCAAATGTTATCTGCTCAACAGGAGGAAAGGTTGGCTAAGCCAGAGGAGCTCTGCAGTTAGAGCTCAACATCTATCCATCCGTGGTAGGCACACACAGTGAGGGCACTAACGTGCCTGAACCATAACCTCATTTGGGTATTTTAATGAGAATGAAGATTTCCTTGTTTGTTTTTAAAGCATAATCCCATTTTTAATAGAGATATCCCCTCTTCCAAAGCTTCATCAGAAGGTCTGTGTTACTGGTAAAAAAAATAAATACAACTGTACTGGTAATATAACACAAATACGAACCAGATTTTCACCATTTTGATAAATCCAAATGTTTCGAATGTTTAACTATCCCATACTTCACAGCAGTGAGATGACAAAGTACTGAACACCTTTGTACATACAGCCAGGGTGGCAGAGCTTTAAAAAAAAAAAAAAAAAGGGAAAAAGTTGCCTTGGGTTAGGTTAATGTTTGATGAGAACTACCAGGGAGGAAAGAGCAGCTTGCTACAGGGCACTGCTCCTTCCTGATCAGCTCTGAAACTGCAAAAATCCCCCAGAAAGCACTATGTGCCTGGGCTTGCCACTGCTCCTCAGACAGAGAACACAAATCCTTCACCACTCGTAGCTGAGGAAAACCTCTGTACTTTTATAAGAGCAGCTCATTAATTCCAATGTCCCAGCCAAGTGAAGATGCAGGTAATTACATCCTGCTCCTTTAGTTCTGGCTGCCAGATTCCTTCCTCCAGTCCATGACATTGTACTGGATTACCCAAGTATCAAAAAGCTAGCATGTTCTATTACTGAATCAATGATGGATACAAGAACTATGATGATGATTTGTAACTCAGCACTGACTACAAAAAAAGGACTTGAAGATCCTTTAGAACTAAAAAGGCTCTGTAAGCATTTTATTAGACAAGTTCAGGTGTGAGATGAATGCGTTACTCATTGCACCCAAGATCCAGCTCATAGATGCTAAGATAATATTTAGATTAAGATAAGCACCAAGCAACCAAATTTTAGAACCCAAATATAACAGGAAACTTCTCATTTCAGCAGCAAAGCTCACTTAAAAAGAAGTTTTAAGTCTTTCTCTAAAACACACTATTAAAATGCCTGAAAATGTTTACATCCAAGAATTTACTGAAGGGTTGAGAGAACCCAAACCACTCCTTCTTTACAACTCCATATTCTGTGCAGCAGTACTCTGGGCAGTGAAAACATCTGGGTCCACCACCACTGCTTCCCCCGGATTAACCTCACACTGGCATCAGTGTTATTTTGTGTCACTGTCGAGGACAGCTCTAAGAACAAAGCAGTGATTGCAGCTCATTCTCAGCTCAGTGAGGCACCCACGAAGGGACTGCACAGCGCCAGCCAGACTCCTGCACAAGGCTGGCAGCCAGCGTCCAAAGCACTGTTAGAAAGAAACGTGCCTATCTCCTATTGAGAGAGGAAAAAAAAAAAAAAAGCAGATCTGAAGCAATCGGTTTTGCTTGGCTTTCTTTTTTCTATTCCTTTTATGGACAGGATGAGGCAGCAGCTGCCCAGATCTCCCAGCTTTCTTTTCTTCCCAGGCAGTAGAGATGCTCACAGGCCACCAGCGTCAGTCCCTCCTTTTTGTCCTGTTACTACAGAAAAGGGTACAGAAAGAGGGAAATCCAACAACTGACAGCACAATGCCCTGCTCCCCCCTTCTCTTCCGGAGAATGCAAACAGCAGAGGAAGGGGTCATTCAGCCCCCAATGGACCACACGCACAGAGGGCGCAGCAGTGGCTCAGCAATAGGGATGGTACTTGGAAAGCAAAGACTAAAAACTGCGATGCAACAAAGCCATCATCTACTAAAACTGCCATTTCTGCATCTACCACAACTCCAAGCCAGGGTTCTGAGGCAGACAGGATAAAGAGGCTTCAACAACAAACTCCTGCAAGCCAAGCAAAGTTCATTTCTGCTGTAAAGTGAAGCAGAATCTCAACTTCACTTTCTTTGGTATTTTCATTTGTTTGCTTTGTCTTGCTATAACAAAGCAATATTCAGGGATAAAACGCTTTCTTAATCAAGCCAATGAAATCCAGTTCTGATGGCTCATGTTCAGAAGACAACAAGAAAGCAAGCATTACAGTGAGGATTCACTGCAGCAGAATTTTGCCTTCTGCTAAGAACCCAATTTCGTTTCTTGCACAAATCCCAATTCAGCATACTTCAGCCCAATCTGATCTTTCATTCAAACAATGTTCTTCTCATCCTTGCAGTGCTCAATCACGAGCAGATTCTACAATTCCCACGATGCAAAGATGGAGCACCACGAACACAAAACTTCTACGTGCAATTTCTTCATGCCCACACAGGCTAACCAAGCATATTATAATAGTTTCCCAACAATATTCTACAGTTTAATTGGACAGAAACTTAATAACAGAACTCCTGTGCCTACATGTTCTTCTGTTTAAACTTTGAAACGAAGACAATTGGTGTTCAAATTTTATTAAGCAATAGCTATTCAGAAATCCAGCATTAATCTGGCTATTAGAGTTCTGACTTCCTCATATTAATTTACTGTCTTATAAGGTCTCATTACATTTGAGTATTATGAACTCCACAGCATTAGGATTAAGAAAGGATCTTTGCAGAAATTCTCTGATAAATATGTTCTGTATAAGATTTGAAGCAATACAGAACATTTTAACAAAGTGCCACCCAAACAAAGAGAGTGCTAGGGCAGAAGGGGAACGTCAATCCATTACAAGGTTCACCTCCTCCTCCTGTTTAACAGAACTACAGAAGCAGCAGGAGTGAAAACATTATCACATACATTACGCAGGTTTAACTGCTATTTCCTCCAGTCCTACTGAAAGATCATCTGTGTGTGCTTTTTCACAAGACATTTATCTTCCTATCATAACCAAGACTCAAGAATTCTGCCTCAGAACGCACTAAAAGAAACACAGTTCTG